GATAATAATAATAATAATAATAATAATAATAATAATAATAATAATAATAATAATAATAATAATAATAATAATAATAATATAGATAGTAACAATATAGAATATAATAATAATATTAGAATAGAAGTTGACAATATAGATAATAATGAAGTTATGGATGATTTAGAAATTAAAAAAGAAGAATTTAACTATAGTGGCAAAACAAATGATGATTTTCAATTAACAAAAAGATATATAGAAGATTTAAATGATTTCGTTAAAATTGAACCACCATATGTTTCGATTGATGATTTTGAAGAAGAGGAACGAAAAGGTTTATTAGACTCTCCAAATAGTAATACTACAACAACAACTACAACTACCACAACAACTACAAAAACAACATCATCAACAACCAATGGAACTGTTACAAATTTTTTTTCAAAGGCTGCAAATACATTTTCATATATTAATAATTTTATAAAATACTCAATTATATCAGAAGAAACGTAACTATTATAATATTCTATTTTATATGTTTACAACTATAAAATACTAAAATTATAAATTTTTTATTTTATATAGTGAAGAGGCATTAGGTCATGTAAATTCATTATTAAATCAATTATTTAAAGATGTAAAATATAGCAAACTTCAAATTATGTTAGGATTATCTTTATTGGATAGCTACTATTCAAACTCACATATTACAACTGGATCATTTGTTCAAGATAAAACATTTCTAGATAGAGCAAACTATTATATGAAATTTGCAAGTGCTACATTTGGTTGGCAATATGTATATGGTTATTTATATAGCAAAAAAGCAAAAGGTGTAGCTCAGGGTGTAGCAAAGGGTGATAATTTAAATGAAAAAGTTCTTTGTGAATATACTGGTATTTCAAAGGAAGATATTATTCTAACAAAATGGACAAGTACAAATTATGATCCTGGTCATTTTATTTGTTTCGACCATAAAAACAAATCCGTTGTCCTATCTATCCGTGGTACATTTAGTGCACGTGATGTTTTAACAGATTTAGTCGCAAACCAAACTCCATTTTTAGACGGAAAGGCTCATACTGGTATGTTAAGATGTGCTCAAAAAAAGTTTAGTGAACTGACTCCAATCATTTTAGAGAATTTAAAGAAACATGAAGGTTATGGTGTAATTATTGTTGGTCATAGTTTAGGTGCCGGTGTTGCCTCCCTATTTTCAATTCTCTTCAAAAACAACTATCCAGAAATACCAATCCATTGCTATTCATTTGCAACACCATGCGTTACATCATCAGAAATAGCACTCTCCATCGAATATAGATCTCTCATTGATACATTCGTATTCAATGATGACATTGTACCTCGTTTTATGTTATGCGTCGTTAGAACATTTAAAAACTTTAGTTTGCTCTATATTGGAACAAAATGATAGTGTTTTCAACTTAATTCTTCAAACCATTTCAGCAGGTAATCAATTAGGTGATGGTTTAACTCAAAAGATGGAAAGTTTTTTAAAATATAAAAGAGATATCAAATTAAAATATGAAGAATTAAAACTAACCGATCAATCAATGTTACCACCTGGTAAAGTTTATAGAATTTATAAACCTGGCGAAAGTATCAATTATGTAATGGAAGAATCAAATCCCTCATTCTTTAAAGAAATTATTATTTCAAATACTTTATTATCAGATCATATGCCTGATAAATATGAAATGGGTTTCCAACTATGTATTGAAAACTTAAATTCAATTAATCCATTTGCAAATATTGAAAAGGATGATATAATAATTTTAAATAATAATGATGAATTTGAAAAAGATATTGAAGATCAATTAGATAAAGGTATAAAAGAATTTGAAAAAGAATTTAATATGCAACAACAACATCAAAGAGAAAAAGAATTTGAAAATAAAAATCCAAATAAAATAACTTTAGTTACACCAAATGAAATAAATGATGAAAAAAATTTAAATACAACAATACCATTAACAACAACAATAAACAAAGAAAATAATAATAATAATAATAATAATAATAATAATAATAATAATAATAATAATAATAATAATAATAATAATAATCAAGAAGAAAATAACAAAGAAAGTTTTTTAGAAAAAATTTGGAGTAATAATCTTTTTCAATAAAATAATTTTAAAAAAAACTTTTTTTTTTTTTTTTTTTTTTTTTTTTTTTAAATTCTTAGATTAATTAAATCTAAGCTTTCTTTATTAATAAATAAATACGAGCATCTAACTCGATACCTGGTAAATATCTTGGGTCACCTTGAAGAAGCATTAATAATCCACCAAATGATGCAAAAACAGAACTAAAAAAAAAAAAATTAATATAATTATAATTTAATTTAATTAAAATTAATTTAAATCTAATCTACTTACACTTTTGATGATGAATTTTCTTTTTGATATTTAAAAACTTTACCATACATAACATATTCATATTTATCTGCTAAAGATGGTTTATTTGTGTCATATGAACCAGTGTCGGCTGAGCCATCTAAATTTAATGATGATGCTAAAAGTAATTTGAATCTTTCGTGACCCAATGGGTAAATATGTGTTGCAATATCAATTTGTAAATCCATTTCGTAATTTTCACTATAACAAACAAATCTTGAAGCTGAAAAATATTATTAAAAATTAATAAATTTGGGATTATTTAAAAAAGATGATAAAATTACATACTTCTATCGAATTTTTTTCCATCTGGATCAATTTCTTTAACTTCAAAGGTATCTTCAAAAAGAATTGATGACATTTTTATTTATATATATATATATGTATTTATTTATTTAAAGAAAAAAAAAAAATTATACAATTTGTAACGGTTATTTGATCGTTTCAAAAACAATGAAAAAAAAATTTAAAAAAAATTTTTAAAAAAAAATTAAAAAAAAATTAAAAAAAATTAAAAAAAAAAAAAATAAAAAAAGAAAAATAAAAAAAGAAAATAAAAAAAAGAAAAAAAGAAAAAGAAAATATTGGTTTTATGTGATTTATAATTCTATTTTTAAAATGAATTAAATAGAACTATTTGAATTTTTACATTTGATTTTATTATTTTTTTTGACCAAATTTTAGGCTGATATTTGAACTGGTTTTGACATTAAATAACAATCAGTTGGTTCAATATTACGATAGTAATTTTTAATTAAACCTTCTTCTTTGAAATTAAATTTCTTATAAAATTCAATAGCATCTGAACCAATTTGAACGTGTAAAGAAATCTTTTCATATTTTTCTTTGTTGCATAAATCTTCGACATATTCTAATAATTTACGGCCAATACCAAAATTTCTATAGGGGTGCTAAAACACTAAATGTCATAATATATAATGATGAAAAAGTTTCACCTTCTTTTGGTGGATCGATTCTGCAACTAACTGCACCAACCATAACATCATTAAAAAATGCTAAATGATAAATATATTTTAAATTAATAATTTTGATTTCTTTTTTCTTTTTTTTTTTTCCGTTTATCTCATTTTCTTCTTTTATAAATAGATCCTACCTAATTTTGTGATAAAGCCATTGGTTAAAAGTTTTTGATAGAATTTTTCTTCATAATTTACTGGTAATGTTGTATTATTTAACAAAGCTAATTGTCCAATGTTTTTATCGGTTAAATCGCCTAATTCGATATTCTTTATCATTTTTTGAAAATATATAATGTCTTTGGTGTTTGGAATAAATAATAAAATGAAAAAATTTTAAAAAAAAATGGAAATATTTTTTTTTTTAAAATTTTTTTTTATAAAATTTTTTTTTTATTTTTTTTTTTTATGGAAATCAATATTTTTATATGTTTATGCTAATATATTAATATTAAAGTAAAATAAAATTTTTTGATTCATTAAAGAATAATATTAACAGTTTATAAATTTATTTATTTTTTACCCCCAAAAAAAAAAAAAAAAAAAAAAAAAAAAAAAAAAAAAGTGGAATTATATAAAGTAAAAATAATTAAAAGTAGAATAAAAAAAAAAAAAAGGATGATATCATCTAAAATAATTTATTTATTATTTGATGGAAACCTAACATAAAAATTTGGGTTTGGAGTAGCTTTAATATCTTTAAATTCTTTTAACAACTGGTCTTTAATAGTGTCAATATATTTTTGTTTCTTTTTAAAACTTGAAAAAGATTGTACAACTGTTTGAGCAACTTTGCTATTTGAATATATTATAAAAAAGAAACTAAATAAATAATTTTATTAATAAATCTTTTTTTTTTATTTTTAAAAATTAAAAATAATTACCCTTTGTTCCAATGAAAGTTTGTTTTTGAAACCATACCAAATGATTGAAATAAATGAACAATTTTTTGAATTCTAAGTTTTTTTAAATTTTCATCATTTTCGATGTCGTTGAATGTTATACCACCAACAAAAACTTTTTTTGTTTTGCAACTGTTATTTACTTGTTTTTTGACAAGGTTCTTATTATTTTTATTTTTATTTGTTTCTTGAGTATTCCCACTAATGTCATCTTCTGAAAATGAATATACTGAGGAAGATGGTGACGTCGAGTAGTATGATTCCGACTCTGTGATTTCACTCCATGAAATTGGGGCAGTAATTTTTGGTATGCAACTATTAGTATCAATAATATTATAATTTTGTTGTTGTTGTTGTTGTTGTTGTTGCTGATTATTATTATTATTATTTATTTGTTCTTTATTATTATCATTAAGATTAAAATTATTAAAATTTTGAATCATTGGATAATATATTGAAAACATTGCACAAACTGAATATTCTACACAATCCATTTCTGTATTGAGATCATTTATTGAAGCATTATTATTACTATTTTGTTCATTTTTTGAAGTGTTAGTTGTAATTGTTAAAGAAGAATTATTATTAATGTCACAAACTAAAGCACTTTTCATAAAATAATATTATTTCACATTTAATGTGATGTTTAAAAAAAAAAAAAAAAAAAAAAAAAGAAAAATTATTTATACACAATTAAAAAAAAAAAAAAAAGTTTGAAAAAATAAAATAAAAATAAAATATTTTTTTTTTTAAATTTCTCAATTTTTATTTTTTTATTTTTTTTTTATTTATTTTTTATTTGTTTTTATAATTTCTTTTTCACTGTTATTTTTTATTTAAAATTACTATTCTTGGGTAAAATTTTTTTAAAAAGTTTATCCCAATCATTTTATTTTTTTTTATTTAAATAAATTGTTAAAAAAATCACATTAAATATCTATTTGTTTAAAAAAAGAAAATAATGTGAAATCACAAAATACTAAAATTATTTTTTAAAAAGTAAATATAAATTACATATAAATTTTTTTGAAAAAACAAATCTATTTTAATAATTTTAAAATGGTTTGTGATAATATGTGTGTGTGTGTGTTAAAAAACAATATCAATATTTTATAAATAAAATAATAAATAGATAATAACTATTTTTATTTGTTTTTTTTTTTATTTTTTTTTTATTTATTTTATTTTATTTTTTTTTTATTATTAATATATATTAATTTTTTTCTTCAAAAATATCGTATTGTAATTTTGTTTTATTTATAAAAAAAATAAAATGAAGGTAACTATTTATAAATAATAGTTAATAAAAATAATAAAGAAAATAAAATATAGAAATATTAAAAAAAAAATATTTATTAATTTTTTCTTTATTTTTATAGAAATTTGATAATTTAAACAAATCAAAAGAATTTTTAAATATAAATAGCAATAATGAAAACAATACACCAACAAGTTTTATAACCCACTCAACAGTTAGCAGTGTGGCATCATCTGTTTCAAATGTTGGAATCAATAACCCATTTCACAAAAATGACATCAAAAGTAATCAACTAATTGACGAAATAACAGATTTAAGAGAGGTATTAAGAAAATCTGTAATTGGGCCGCTCAGTAGAGAAATAATTGGTTTATATACTGAAGAGCAACAACAATGTGAACCACAACAGTCTCCGCAACAACATCAACAAAGTGTTAATAATGAAAATATAAAAGAAGCAACAATAAATAATGACCATGACTATGATGATGATTGGATGATAAAACAACATATTTTGTTAAAAAAAGAAAAAAATAATATTTTAGCAAAAAGTCCACTTTTGGCAGCATTAAACAATAGTGGTGAAAGGTGTTTATCAAGGGCTATTAGTGTTACCTCCTTAAATGGTGCAGGATCACCAACAATCAACTATTTGACATCAGAACAAGTTTTACAGGAAATTGAGGATAAACTAAAACTTTCAAATGAAAATAATGAAAATAATAAAAATTTTAAACCAAGTTATATGAATAATAATAATAATAATAATATAAATAATAGTAATAATAATAATAATAATAATAATAATAATAATAATAATGAGCATAATAAAATAATTAAAAAGTTTGATAATAAACCTAACAATATTAATAATGAAAAAACCAAAATCAATTATAAAAATAATATTAATAATGGTTTTGATAATAATAATAATAATAATAATAATAATAATAATAATAATAGTAATAATATAAATTCATTTGACTGTGATAATAATAGTAATCATAGTTCACCAACCATACCAACATCATCTTCAACATCTTCACTAATGGGTGGAAATAATACTTTAAATGAAAATCAAATATCTATTGAAAAAGAAAAAATAATGGCCATCATTCAAGACTATCAAAAGGTGAAACAAGAAATGAGGGATCAAACTCAACAAATACAATCATTAGACGAACAGTTAAATGAAATGAAGGCAAACTTGGAACTAAAAAAAAAGAAAATTTCAATGTTGAAAAATCCCAATCAAATATCAAATAACAATCCAACCAATGGTATTAATAATAGTAGTAATACAAATCAAAATAAAACTAATAATAGTAACAAAAAAACTAGCCCAACATTTCAACAACTTCAACAACAACAGCAACAGCAACAGCAACAACAAAATAATAACCTACCATCCTCACCAACAACAAATAAGCCTCCAATTGGTAAGAATAATAGCTGTAATAATTTAATATCAATTAATTCACCAAATAATGTTCCAATTTTAACATCAAGTGGATCACTACCACTATTAAATCAATTTAAAACTTCACCAACATCCTCTTCATCATCATCATATAATCAACAACTAAATAATAATAATAATAATAATTCACCAATTTTAAATAAAAAAGATCAATTAAATAATTTAGCAAATAATTTAAATTTAAATATTGGTAATTTATTAAATGAAGAGGATATTAATCAAAAGATATCTGAAGTATTGGCAACAGCTAAATATAGAATTGAAAGAATTCAATTTAAAAACAGAGTATTGTTAACATCACACCTTCACAGTCTTTCAACTGAAATTCATCAACTAATTGAAAAAAGGATAACAAAAAAACAAGTAAATTTAGAATTAAAGCAAAATGAAAAAATAGTTGTAGATTGTGAATCAGTAAGCTCAACAATTTTAAATTTTCTTCAAGAGCTAATGAATCAAAAACTAACAATTGATGAAACCGCCGAATCCATTGTAAAAAAACGTAAAATCAAATCAAAAGAAACAAAACAATTGGAAGAATTAGAAAAGAGAAAAAGAAAGATCGAAGCAGCAATTGCATTTTTAAATATAGAGAAACGAAGTGTAAGAGAATTACGAGATAGATTTGTTTCAGTTTGCAATGAAGTCACTCGTCTATACGAAGCAACCAATACTATTGAAAGAGATTTGTCAAAATGGGATGTCGAATTGGAAAGAATTTATCATCAAACAAGAGAGGGTTTTTATTCAGATTATTTCAAACTTCATCCTTTATTCCAATCTTGTAGCCAAAGAATTAAAGACCATTACCATACCAAGCAAGATTTAATAAGAGAGTTGGCACGTCGTGAAGCCGCTAGGATTGCATCTGAAATTTATATCAGTGGCATCGTTCAGATTTTGGAATGTGGTCATGATTTAATAACTGACGAAAGAATGGTCGATGTTGCTAGAGTTAGAGGTTTGGAGCATCAAGTACATATGCTATATCATGCTCTATATGATTCACAGATTAAAAATCAACAATCAATCAACAGTTAAAAAAAATAAAATATTGAACTTTAATATTTGATTACACCTTTCAATTTTTTTTTTTTATTTTTTAATTTTTTCTTTTTTTATTTTTTTTTTTTTCAAATTTTTAATTTTTTTTTAATTTTTTTTTAAATTTTTTTTTATTTTTTTTTTTTATCATCACCATTTTTAATTGTGGATTATATATATTTAAAAAATGAATAAAATATTTATTGTTTTATCATTATTATTTTTAGTTCAATCAGCATATTCAATTATGTTTGAAGTTAGAGCAGCTGATGAAAAATGTATTGTAGAAGAGTTTAGACAAGATACTTTAGTCAATGGCAATTTTGAAGTTTCAGATAAATTATCAAGAAACATGGCTTTCCCATATGAAGTTGTTATGTCAAGCATGCAAATGAAATTTTATGTAAGTAAATGTAGTTTATAATTTTTAAAAATAATATATAAATTTTAATCATAGTTTTATAATATTATAGGTACGTGGTCCAACTGGTGATATGATTTCAGTTAACCATGATGCTACTAAAGGTGTTATTGCTTTTAATGCTCAAGAACCAGGTGACTATTCATTCTGTTTCTTAGATAACTACAGACCAGGTAAATAATCAATAAAATTTTTAAAAATTAAACTTTTAAAAACCAATAATTAATAATTAATAATAAATAATAAATAATAATAATAATAATAACATTTAATTAATAATAATTAATATAATTAATTATTTTCTATAGGCGCTCAAGCTATGCCATTAAGCAGAACTGTTTCATTATCGATTAAAACTGGAGTTGAAGCAAACGATTATTCAGATGTTATCACCAAAGGTCAATTAAAACCATCAGAAATTGAACTTAAAAAAATTGAAGATGTTGTTGATGCAATCAAAACTGAAATTTTATATATGAAAAATAGAGAAGAAACTATGAGAAATACTAACGAATCAACCAATTCAAGAGTTGCAAATTTATCAATCTTTTGTTTCTTTGTTTTAATTGCAAGTGCATTTTTCCAAATCTCATATCTCAAAAAATACTTTAAACAAAAGAAATTAATTTAAATTAAATTTTTAAATAATAAAATATAAATTTATAAAAATGAAAAAAGATCTAAAACTATTTTATTTTTTTTTCTAACAAACCAAATACTTTTAACTTCATCTCAATTAATTACAATAAAGATTAAATTAAATAAATATTTTTTTTTTTTACCAAAACAGAAATTATTTTATTTTACATTTTTTTTTACCAATTACAAATGGGTTTAATTTACAGAAAGTTTTTTATTTTTATTGTTGGTATTCATGATATTATTATCCATATATTATTATTAGTATTATTTATTATAAATTATGGTTCATATGGTGGTGTTGGTTCAGTTTGGGATTCATAAATGACTGGTTGTGGTGCACCAAATGTTGATGATGAAAAAGCACATTCATTGTGATGTCTTACTAATGATGGTAAAGCAAATAAATCATAAAGCCATCCAATGCCAAATACACCAGCAGTGAAGAAATATAAAAAGAATGTGCCAATCTTATTTAAATAAAGACGGTGAAAACCTTTTTTTAAAGAGAATTTTTATTAGTATAAATGTTATTTAAACTTTTAAAAAAAACTAATTGTCTTCTTACCTAAGAGTCCAAAGAAAAACCATAAAATATATGCAACAGTTAACGATTTATGTGAATAAGAGGTGGTTCTAACAGTGTGTGTGCTGATTAAAGGAGTTGTAACAATTACTGGACGACCAATAACCGGTGTGGTAGAAATAATTGGAGTTGTGACAACTGTAGGAGTTGTAAAAATAGTAGTAGAGTTATTATAATGTCCACTACCATGGTGATGGTGATGATGTCCATGGTGATGGTGATGATGATCACTGTGATGGTGATGATGACCACCGTGATGGTGATGATGACCTCCATGATGACCGCCGTGATGAACCATTATTATATTTTATAAACTGTTTTTGGAAAAAAAAATTAAAAAAATTAAAAAAATATAAATTTTATATAAAAAAAAACAATATAAATAAACAATTGTTGTCTTTTTGATAAAAAAAAAATTTGGGAAAAAAAAAATTTTTAAATTTGGGTGGAAAAAAAATAAAAATTAAAAAATAAAAAATAAAAAAAAATAAAAATTAAAAAACCTATTTTTTCGGTATTTTATCTCAATAACACCCGTTTTATTAATTAAAGACTCAAAAAAAAAGAAAAAATTTAAAATATGCAAATAAAAAAAAAAGAAATGTCATTTGCCGATTTCCGTGTGGCTACTGGGTGACTGTCTTTTTGCTTTGGGTAAAATTTTTATCAAAATAAAAAAAATTATATATAGAAAATTTATTGGTATTTAAAGAAAGTTTTTCAGATTGGGGTGGATCATTACCAATTGCTATGCAACAAGCCCCAGTCGGTGTTAATACTGCATCTGCAAAGAAACAAGAGAAAATTGATGTCGCTACAATGCATAAACCCAAACCAGAAAAAGAAGAGGTAATGATTGATGATGGTAGTGGTAAATTAACAATTTGGCGTTTTGAAGAATTTCAAAAATTTGCAATCGATCCAAAAAATTATGGTGCAGATGAAATATCGATAAACTTCATACATAATTATTTATTTTAATCAAGTTAAAATAGTTAATAATCATAGTGTTTACAGAGTAATTCAAATAGTTAGAGAACTGCAGTTCTGGGAAAGGTTATAAATTAGGGTTTAGCACAGACTCTCCCAGTCAAAAGTAATCATACAGAATGGATTTTTAAATCGATTAAAATATTTTAAAAAACTAGTTGAATTGAATTTCAATTCAAATCCATCTTATTTTTTTGATCAAAAAAATTATTTAAATTTAATAATAAAAAGATTTTATTAATTTTTGTAACTTATTTCTTTATTTTATTTTTAATCTCTAAAATATTGACAATATTTTTTTTATTTTTTTTTATTTTTTTTATTTTAATTTTTAACAAATAAACCAATATCTTGTAATATTATTCTAGGGGTTCTTATTTAAATATTAAATATTACCTATTAATTCAATATTTATTATTCCATCTTAAACAAGTATGGGGAGATTAGGTACCCTCTTGGGCTATAAGTAACAAGACAAATTCTAAATAAAATAGGAACTACCATTTTCCCAAACCGATAGAATGATGGGAAAGTTAACTTGAAATTTATTGATGAAATAAAAATAATGTATAAATAAAAATTTAATATCTAAAATTTAATGAAACTAGATTTTCATTACACATAATATAATTATTTATTAGTTGTTTTTTTTTATACTTTTTTTTACTAATAAATGATTAAGTATATATATAAGTTGTTTATTTGTTATTCTTTTATTTATATTTTTACTTAATCATTTCTTTTTTTTTTTTTTTTTTTTTTTTTTAATTTTTGATTTATTTATTTTTTATAATTTATTAAAAAATATTATTTGAATAATTAAATAGTTTTATAATTAAATCTTATCTAAAACTATGAAAATAATACACAACAAAATAAAATATCTGAAGAAAATAAATTATAAAAAAATAGAAAATAAACTTTTAAATTAAAGAAATGATTTTTATTTTTTATTTTCTTTTTTTTCTTTTTAATTGGAAAATCTGACCTCTTTTAAATTATTTAATACAATAATTTAAAATTTTCTAATATTTTATTATAAATATTTAAATTAATTAATTAATTTGGTTTATAAAAATATCGATTCATCTAATTGTGCCTGGATCTTTTTTAACAGTTAATGGGAGAGGTTTTCATAATAATAAGTTGGATTAAATCAATAAATAGTTGCTGTGGTTGTTTCGATGGGGAATGAACATTAAGTTTAATGGACTTTTTGAAGTGGTGGGTTTTGATATTCCCTAATTTGATCAATAGTTACGAACACTGTAGCATTACCTTTTTTTCTTAAAACTATTTTATTTCTATCATATTTGCTTGGCCAGAGCGAATTAATGATATTCATAAAATAGTTGATAAGATTGATTAGTGCTGACTTGATTAGTTGAAATATGATTGTACACTATCGGAATCAATAGATTTTACTATTTTAAACAGAGATTATACACAGCTTGATGAAGAGAATTCGGTACTTCAACCTTTAACCAAAAAAATGATTCACTACCTGGTGTAAAAGATTCTTATGATTGATTTGTCATTTGTTTGAACTATTTATCTGTATTTACTGTGTTGTGTAAAACAATATGAAATCTGAGATTGGCACAATAAATCGACTAGACTGCATTGTTGGGTGATTAATTAATACAGTATTTAAAGAAAAAATGAAATAAAAAGATTATTAATATATAGTTTAATATTAATTAAAATTTTAAATACCATACCTAAGTTACGATTTCTACGATAAAGGAAATAGCAACAGGGTGTCGGCTTCTTATAAATCTATGGAAACTAAATATTATTCTTCAATTCTAGAAAAGGTTGTGTATTACCAGCACTTGAAATAAATTAACTAATTCTGATCTTTCTGGTAATTAATTTTTAAAATAAGATATCTCAATTCACTTCCCTAAGTCTTTAACTTTTTTTATTTTAGGTTGTTTATCTGATTTGATTTAATACTTGCTAAATGGATATCATTTAAATTGTTTGGACGCCTACAATTCTATATTTAACACTTGAAGTACCACATGAATCATTATTAGATGTGGCACCACTTGAAACTGCATTTAATTCTCTACCTAAATCACTATTTGAAACAATACTTGAAACAAAATTACAGCCACTGTTTGAACCAACCACATTTGATTCAATATTTATACAACTGCTTGAACCCTACTTTTTGAAAAATTGCTTGGGCATTTGAATTACATTCGACCATTTTAAAGACTATTTGAGCCATTATTGGGACCACCATTTAAATCACTACATGAGGCATTTCTTGGGCTGACAGTTGAACTACTACTTAAAATATTGCTCTGACCACCATTTGAATCACTACGCAAAATACCACTTGAATAAATATTTGACCAATTGAACCACTACTTGAAATATTGCTTGGACAACCATTTGAACCACTATTTGAAATATTGCTTAGACCCCATTTTAACAAATACTTGAAATATTGCTTAGACCCCATTTTAACAACTACTTGAAATATTTCTTGTGCCACCATTAGAACCACTATTTGAAATATTGCTTGGACCACCATTTGGCCACCATTTTACATATTGCTTGAACCATCATTTTGACCTTAAATTGAATTTGCTAAAAGTTTTAAATACGTTTGGGCAATTGCTTTTCAGATGCTGCTTACCAGTTCCATTTTTAAATATTCTTTATTGAACCTAATTATTAAATAAATAAATTATTAATATATGTTTAAAAATAATTTGTAAAAATAATATTATTTTACATACCATTTCAGTCTATAAATTATTGATTAGCCGTACAGCTAATACCGAAATATAATAGACAAATGTCAATACATAGTATAACTTTGAAATCTGTTGTATTAAAAAAATGAATTAATAAATTATTAAAAAATTAAAAGATAAAAAAAAAAAGAGAAAATAACTATTTACCTTTAGAGTTAAATTATAATGTAGAATTTAATTGCACCTTTTATATTATTTAAAGCATTTGGCGCAAAGAACCATAGTGTTTGTCATGATGAGATAATATAATTGCTCTATAATTTTCAATTGAACTTGGAAGAATTTCAATGAAAGAGCTGCTATCAGATTCACATGATGAAATAACTGTTATCTTTGACTTTAAAATTTCAGCAGCAGCAATTAGTGTTAAATGGTCACCCCAAGTACCTTCTCTTGCCATATGGTTACAATATCTATTCCAATTATTGGTATTTGCAAATTGGTGTAGTTTTGCACCATTTGGGAGGGTGAAATTTTTATTACTTATGAGCCATGTGGCAATGACTCTTCTTATCTCGGCACTATGGTTCAAGTTGCCATAAAGTTGGTCAGATAAGGCATGCATCTGACAATTACCATCTCCTGGGATGTCTCTACTATTCTCTAATTGGTAGAGCTCCAAACGTTCATTTAAACGTCTTATAGCTTGAAGTCCAGGTTGTGGTGATGGTTTTGGAATAGTGACTGCACCCGAGTCAATATTCTTATGTTCTTGTTTTTGTTGTTGTGGTGGTTGTTGTGGTGGTTGTTGTTGTTGTGGTTGTTGTTGTGGTGGTCTTTGTTGTTGTTGCTGTTGATGTTGTTGTTGTTGTTGTTGAAGTAGTTGATATTCTTGAAAATTTTCCAATTGTTTTTTATTATTAGGTGTTGATGCAGGAGGTTTTGGTAGTGGTTGTTGGTAGTTGGTTGTTGGTTGTGGGTTTGGATGGGGTTGTGGGTATGGGTGTGGTTGTGGTTGTGGGTGGTGGTGTGGTTGTGGGTGGTGGTGTGGTTGTGGTTGTGGGGTTAGTGATTGTGGTTGTGATTGTGTGATTGGTTGTGATTGTAGATGTGGTGGGTTGTGAGTTTTATGAAATTCTTCATAAAATTCGTCATTGTAGAAAAAGTCTTGGTCGTTTTCTGTTCCATCGGCGTAGTAGTATTTGGTAGTTTTATTATTCTTGATTTTTTTTAAAAACCAATAAAAAATGAATAAAACTAAAAAAATAATAACAAAATATATCATTTTTCTATTTACAAAAAATATATATAAAAACAAATATTATTATTTAAAAATATATATTATATAATTATTATGATATGTGTGAAGTTGAATGAAATGTAAAAAAAAAAAAAAGTTATATACCATGAAAAATTATGTGTTTTTTTTAAAGCAATAATTTTAAAAAAAAAAAAAAAAAAAAAAAAAAAAATTTAATATACTATTTTTTTTTATTTAAAACAATTTAAAAAAAATTAAAAAAAATATAATAAAATTAAAAAATATTATAATAAATAAAAAAAAACATAAACAATATATTATTTTTACATTATTTTTAATAAATTTTGGAAAAATAATCTTAATTGGGAACTTGACTTTTATACAGATCATCCTTTAATAAACTATATAAAGCAAAACTTTAATCTTTTAAAGAAATTTCTAATTTTGAAAAAAACAGGTTCTCAATTGAAGTAGGTTCCATATCTGGTTTTACAATATGTAGATAAAAATTCATCAACCCTTTTTATAAAAGAGCATACAGATGCTTTTAATTTTTTGTTTATTTTTATTTTATTTACTTTTAATATAATTAAATCCCCCAATATAAATAGATTATTAATTTTAATTAAAGAAAAAATAAAATAATTTTTATATTAAATCAATTATTTTTTTTTTTTTTTTTTTTTTTTTTTTTTTTTTTTTTTAATATTTTTTTTAAAATAATAATATTTTTTTAAAGCAAAATAAATAGTAAACATAAGAATAAATAATTGTATAACTCATACTATAATACTTATTTAAATATAGATAATTCAGAAAGATTAAGATTTTTAAATGACATAGAGAATAGATTAAACAGATTTCAATCACCAAGATTTCAACAAAACTATTTTAAAAATAATATTTCAACACCACCACCGCCACTACAACACAAAATGAAATCCATATTTATAGACACAATATGGAGTGTTACATAATGTAAAGTAATATTTCAAGAGGGACAGGACTTCATTCTGATTTTGATTGTCCACCCAAACACTGGCATAATTTCAAACCCATTAAGAAGAAAATAGGTATATTGATTCAGAATTTAATTAAATAAAATAAAAAAATAAAATATGATAATTTTAAAATAAAAAAATAATTATCTTTTCCTTCAATTTCTTTTTACCTCTTTTCTTTTCTTAATTTTTTATTTGAACTATTTTTAATTTAAATCATTTCTTATTATTTTAAAATAATTTAAATTAAATATAATGATTAAAATAAAATTTCATAAGGAATTAATTTGATTAAAAAATAACAAAAAACCATTTATTTTTATGATATTTAAATCTAAATTAAGTTTTAAATAAAAACCACATCCATTTATATTCTCATTATAATAGAACTTTTAAAAAAAAACATTTTAAATGATTAAATATAAATTTTTTTTAATGGGTTTAATAAAAAAATATTAAATCATTTTAAAGTAATTACAACTTTTTAACTTGAAAATTTAGAATATTGGAACAAATTGCCCTCATACCCAGTAAATTGGTTGATCTAAGTTTTTGACAAACAAACACTTTTTTAAAAAGAAATATTTTATAAAGTTTGATCAATAGTATTGGGTTTTTTTTTATTTGGATTTAGTTTTCTTTCTCTTAAACCACAAGCATTACAAACATATTCCTTTTGAGAATTGGGTCCAATAATAGTTCTCCATTCAGAGGTGCTTTTTGATTTGTAAATAAAGCATTCATTGGGTCTATTTTTAATTTAAATAAGGGAAATCTAAGTTTAGCAAATTAACATTAAAAAAATCTTGAATGTTGGGATTCATTATATTTGGGTTGCCTTCATTTACAAAGGATTGACATCTCCCTATAAATAGAAGGGAGGATTCCATTCTTCATTTTTTTTTAAAGATTTAATTACGCTAATATGTCCTTTTATGGCATCTGATAATTCTTCGAGTGCTTTTATATAGTTTTGACGACATTCTTCTATGCAACCTCACATATAAAAAATATCATTCCAAAGAAAATTTTCCTTTGAAAAAAAATAATCCAAAGTAAAATTGTGGTCGTGGATTGTGTTATTATATGATTTATCCATTATGTTTAAAATATTAAGTTTTTTTGTATAATTAAAAATATTTATATATAAACTCAATGTAATTTAAAAAATATATAAAATAATTTAAATTTTATATTAAATAAAAGTTTGTTTAAGGAAAAAAAACGTATGAAACAACAGGTTTGGAGCTCCAGACCTCTGGTAAATAGAAAATTGATCGGCTACCGATAATAAGTTTTTTTTCATTTAACATTTAAAAAATGTTTTTGGGAAAAGAAAAAACCAATTTATATTTTTATATAATTAAATATATTTTATTTCTATTGTTAGTATTATTATTTTCTAAACTATAATAACTATTGAGGATGACATCTATTAACAGAAGGAACATCTTGTCTAAATTCTGTTGAATTATTTCTTTTCTTTTTCTTTTTCTTTTGTTTTTGTTGTGGTGTTTGAGATGAAGATGAGTCTACATAATCATCATCAATGTCATCTTCTTCAGAATCATCTTCAACACTACTCTTATTGTTATTATTATATTCTTCGTGTTGAGTAAATGTTGAATCCACACTATTGGTCGTACTAACTTTGATGGTTTCCATTTTTATTGCGCCTTCGATATCTTCTTTTTTAAATACACCACTTTTAGTTCTTTCAGCAGCTCTATCAACCTCTGATGACCAATCTACTCTATTAACAATAACACATAAAACTATACAAATTACAACCAAACCTACACATAATCCCCACCATAGACCTTTAACACCAACATCTACTGGAAAAGCAAATCTATAGAAAAAAAAAGTTAATAAATTTATAAAAAATATTTTTTAAAAAAAAAAAAAACTTACATGACCGCTAATGGAATTGCAATAACATAAAATGCAATGAAATTACAAACTGATCCAGTAATAACTCTACCCATACCTCTTACAACACCTTGGAAAATAGTTTGACCACCATCAAATACTTGAAAGATGGCAGCAATTGGTAAAATAGAAGCAACTATCTCTACAACATCTTTGTCATTGGTGTAAATATAACCTATTCCATGTCTGCAACTATATTGAATAATTGCTACTATAGCCATAAAAACAATTGCTATTAAGAAAGCGATCCAAGAAATTCTTTTTGCCATTGCTTCATTTTTTGAGCCTAATAACTGACCAACACGCACTGATACCGCAATAGAAATACCACTTGGGAATTGATATGTTAACATAGTAAAGTTATACGTTACAGAATGTGCATCCAAGTCTGTTGTACTAATAAGACCCGCCAAAATTGTTAAAACTTCAAAACCAACGGCCTCTGATGCGTGCTGAATTGAAGCTGGTATTGCTAATTTCAAATACTCTTTAAAACCTTGAACCTTTAAAGCCTCTCTTTTTAGACCAAACCACGTTTCCTTGTGTAGTTTCCATATTGCAAAAATAGAAATCATTGAAATAAATGCAATAACCCTCTTTATAAATAAAATAAGAGGATATTAATAAAAATGAAATTTTCTAAAATAAAATAAAAATAGATTCTAAAGAAAATAAAATTTTTACTTACAGAAATTGATGTTGCTAAAGCAGCACCTCTATAACCCATACCACCATAGCTTCCCAAACCATTTACTAGCAAAACGTTGAATAAAACATTAAAACCATTTAAAATAACACCAACTGCAATTGAGGGCCACATAATACCTTGGCATTGTAAATATTTTTGAAATATATTGGTTTGGAGTTGGAACCAAAGACCTGGTAATAAATATAAGGAATATTGAAATGCCATATGTGAAACATCTTTATCTTGTCCCACCAACAAAAGGAAATACTCGGTAATACACCATAATACTGTTACAATTAAAAAGGCAACACAATTAACTATTGATGCTCTTTGAAGAACCAAACCAACCAATTGTAGATTATTTGCGCCAAATGATTGTGATACCAATGTATCCATTGCATTAGCTAAACCAGTACCTAAACTTAATGTACAATAGGTCCATGTATTTGCTAAAGCTGCCGCACTTAATTCATTTTGAACTTCATTTTGTCTGCCCTATAAAAAATAATATTATTTTATATTATTGGTTATTTAAAATAATTATTATTAATTACTTTGAAAATTATAATTTGAAATTTATATTATTATTTAAAAAAATTAAATTAAATTAAACTAAATTAAATTAAATTTAGTTTACAAAAAAAAAATAAAAAATAAAAAATAAAAAATAAAAAAATAAAAAATAAAAAATAAAAAATAAAAAATAAAAAATAAAAAATAAAAAAATACAAAATAAAAAAAAAATAAATAAAAAAGATATTTATTGAAATAAGATATCTATAAAATCCCAATGATTTTCTGTGCAAATGAATTTTTGATTCTTTTTTTAGCGTTTTTTTTTTTTTTAAAATATTTTTGAAAAAAAAAATAAAATAAAATATAAACCACATAAATAAAATATTTTTTTTAACACTTACAACAAATATTAAATTAACAAACAAAAATGAAACATTATTTAATAAATTTGAAATAATTAATGGAGTTGACCATTTAAAAAGAATTATTATTTCCTTTTTGCTTAATTTATATTGATCTACTATAAAATGTGAAAACCTTGAGCACTGCGATGATATTTTGTTCATTTTTTCTTTTACTATTTATATACAATTTTTGATTTAAATTTATTTTATACTATTGATATTTATTTATTATTATTATTATTATTATTATTATTATTATTATTATTATTATTATTATTATTATTTATAATTTTTATTTACAAAAAAAAAAAAAAAAAAAAAAAAAAAAAAGAATATACAATTTTTAAATGATTCTATATTTTTAGAATTTTATTATTTATTTATTATATAATTATTATTATTATTAAGATTTATGAAAAAAAAACAAAAAAATATATATATATATATAGATTAAATTTATTTAATTATTATTAATTGCTAACATCTCCATATGTATTTTTTATTATATACATATATCGTTGCAGTTATTTGTTGATTGATTTCAGAAAGTGTCTTAACACAAAATACTAAAAAAAAAAAAAAAAAAAAAAGAATAAAAAAATTAATATTTTTTTTTAAAACACAACATTTACTCTTTCATTTTTTTTTTTCGAAAATATCTCAATCATTTTTTTTTTTTGTATTATTTTTTTTTTAAATAATATTATGATAATCATTTTTTTATCACCTCACAATAAAAAAGATCTTTATTGAAAGCAAGGAATTATAGTTCATTTTTTTTTTGGGGGCGACCAACTGGTACCACGGTGAATTACTCACCAACGTTGTTATTTTGATTTTTAATTTTTTTTGATTTTTATTTTTTTTTCTTTTCAATTATTTTTCAATAACAAAAAAAAAAACTAATAATATTTGCTTATAATTAGTAAATTATTATAAATTATTCTTTAAAATTTAAAAAAAAAAAAAGAGAAAAAAGATTTTGTGAGATAAAAACTTAGTTTTCACGTGTTCAAAAAAAAAAAAAAAAAATATTAAATTTTTTTTTTTCATTATTTAAAAAAATAAAAAAAAAAAAAAAAATAAAGTTTTTTTTACGAACAATTTATTTAAATAATAATAAATATTTATTATTAAGCCAAATGTTTTTTAATCATTTGAATTAAAGTATCGGAAGTTTTGATTGGTTTTTGTAAGAAATCGTTCATACCAACAGATAAACATTTTTGCTTATCTTTATAACCAGAGTTTGCAGTTAATGCAATAATTACAATATGAGGATTTTTTTTAGATGGAGGTGGTTTAATTGAATTTGACTTTTCTAAATTTCTAATAATTGTTGTAGCTTCAAAACCATCCATTTCAGGCATTTGACAGTCCATTAAAATTAAATCATATTCACTTTCTTTAACTTTTTCTACAGCTTCTATACCATTATTTGCTACTGTAAATTTATACCCACTATCCTTTAATAGTTTACTAAATATTTTAACATTCACAAAATTGTCTTCTACTAAAAGAATTTTTTCATTTTTTTCCTCTATAAATGGTATAGATGGTTTTGATGTAGTTGCTGTGCCGCTTGTTGTTGATTTCGAACTAGTTTCATCAGTGTGTTTAGTTGAGGTGGTTTGACTTGGTCTATTTAACGATAATCCACCAAAATTAGGTGTTGAGGATGTAGATGTGGTTGTGGTTGTTGTGGTTGTAGTAGGTTTTTTATGTGTTGGGGTTGTTGGTGTGGATATTGTTGTACTACTACTACTCAAATGTTGATATAATGTTGGTGGTGGTGGTGGAATAGGTGAGCTTGATGAAAGGGATAATGGTTTGGATTTTGATGAGGGTGATGCATTAGTGGACATTGTTGATGATGGGAATCTAGATATAGTGGGAGTTGTTGGGGGTATAAGTGGTAAGGGTGGTGAGTTTTCAGATATACATGATAAAACTTCATCCTCTTTTAAAGGTTTCAATGAACCATTTGGGCAAAAGCTTGGTGGTAAAGGTAGTTTCATTGTGGTTGGGGATTTGTGAGGAGAGCTGGGTACCATAGTAGATAAAGAGTCAGGTACCATTATTGGTGATGATTGATTTGAATGTGATGGCGTAATCGAACCTCTTTTAAAATTTTGATTGTGGCTTTCTATCTTTTTGTAAACTGATTCCATGTTAATTGGGAAAGGACCATCCATTGATGGTGAGTTTGAAACATGAGGGAACATATTTATTGTTGGTGAATTGGGATCATTTAAAGAAAATCTTCTTGTGGCTGGGCTAAAAATAAATGATTGTGTTGTTTTGTTTGAAATGGGGGTTACTGCATTACTACTATTGCTAAAACTAGAACTCCTTGAGAATTGACTATTGCTACTGGTATTGGTAGGGCTCTTCTCAAAACCCATCATTGGAGTCATACCAGTTGTTATTGGTGTTACAGGTTGTGAATGATGAGGTTTTCTTTTAAAAAAAGATGGTGATATTTCTAAACTTTCAACTGGTAGTGAATGATGATGAGGGTGTCTTCTATAACTATTACCTATATTGTTATGAATGTGATGAACAAATGGATTTGAGCAGGCAATAACATTTTGATTAAATAGTTCAAGTTCATCATAGTTATCGATATCACTAATTGATGACATTAAAAGGTGTTCTGACGATGAAAGTTCCGATGGAGAATTACTGCTGGAGCTAAATGATCTTGATGGACTACCAGCCATTGTATCTACAAAAAAGTTTACAGAGTCAATTTTGTATAAACATCTAACAATATCTGCAAACTGACATGGTTTAACAATTCTGTTTTCAAATTCTGATGATAGTTTTCTTTCTTCATTGGGACTTTCCATTAATATCCAATGATATATACGATCTGTTGGTAGATGCTCTGTGGTATTTTGATTGATTTCTATTATACTTGTTATCACTAAATATACCTGTGGAGTTGATGGGTGTGTATCTGCTACTACTAAGGTTGATAAATAGTTTTCAAACTCTTTTTTATTTTCAAAATCAACACATGTTATTTTTAAAATTGCAAAGAATTGACTAATTGATTTTCTTATATATTGATTACCATCAATTACAATACCAACAACACCACTTGCACCATATTTCTTTTTACCTATAGGTTTATTTGTGCCCTGGATATCTTCCCCCATGTAAATGGCACTACCTAATTGTTGTAATGAGAATTTTGGTATATTTGTAGAGTATCCACATGGGATAGTAAAGGAAAATGTTGAACCTATACCAAATTCACTTTTAACGTGGACATCACCACCCATCATTTTACATAACCTTTTACTAATTGATAGCCCTAGGCCAGTGCCTTGATACTTTCTACTATTACCACTATCAATTTGAGAAAATGACTAAAAATTGAAAAATAAAAATTATAAATTAGTATTAGATTTTGAATTAAAAATAATTTTCCAATAAAAATACATACAGCAAATAATTGTCCAAGATGTTCGGGCTTAATTCCAATACCAGAGTCTTCTACATCTATTTTAATTAATGATTCCTTTTCATTTTCAGATTCTAATTTAACCCTAATAATAATTTGACCTTCGTTTGTAAATTTAATCGAATTTGACAAAAAATTTAATAAAATTTGTTTAATTCTTCTTCCATCACCATTGATAATAACTGGGACATTTGGGTCTACAAATACACAAAGCTCTAAACCCTTTTCGTAAATATTTTTTGATACTATTCTTATTCCATTATCTAACATTTTCAAAATACTAAAATCATATTTTATTATTTCCATTTTTCCTGCTTCTATTTTGCTATAATCCAATATATCATTAATTAAATCTAACAAATAGTTTCCAGATAGTTTGATACAATTTAAAAATTCTTTTTGAGTTGAGTCTAATGTGGTTCTCTCTAAAATATCTGCTGATGCTAAAACTCCATTGATTGGAGTTCTAAGTTCGTGACTAACAGTAGTTAAAAAGATTACTTTTGCTTCGTTTGCAGCTTCAGCTTTTCTTAATGCATAGTCTGCTTCCATTAATTGTTTCCTTCCGGTAATATCAATAATTGAAATTACATCTACTGGTTCACCACCATATGTTGCTTTGTTTGTTCTTACTTCTACTTGGAAGGTTCTACCGCTTGAATCTATACCAGTTGTTTCTATAACACCAATGTCTGAATTGTCAAATGTTTTTGATGCCCCAGGTTCAAACATTCCTTCGAGAGCCGGTAAAAATTCCCATATACCACTTTGAATTGGATATAATAAGTCTTGTAGTTTTATTTGGAACATTGATTCAAATGCTGGGTTTGCATCAGTTATTAAGCCATCTTTATGTACTACTAAAGCTTCATTACTTATTCTAAATAAACTTTGAATTCTTAACTCCTTTCTTTCAATTTCTTTTAAGTCCACTGATGAAAGAATTGTATAGAATGTTAAAATTACAAAAACTATAATAATTGATCTTAATAGTTCGCCAAAGTCGTTGTATGCCTAAAATAAATTAAAAAAAATTGTTAATAAAAATTTTATATATTTTTAATTGTTTAATATTTTTTTTTTACCTACATCTAATAAATAAAAGTTATCAGATGATTGAACATAAACACCCATTCCAATATATGAAACTGCTACTAAAATTAACATCACAATCGAGTATACAATGGACGGAAACAATAGAGGTACCATTATCATTACCAACAAATCCCATGAAAAAATTAATCGATCAGTTTTTCTTGTATGGGTAAGGTCATAAATAACTGATGTAATATTTATTGCCGTTGCCGTTGCTATTGTAAAAAAAGCGATGAGATACATTCTATTATTAACTTTTCCAAAAAAATAATACACCACAGATAAAAAGATCCCTGGTGCAAAAACAAACCATTCATAAGATGAAAGAATGGTCGAGAGTAAATATACAACAAATAGTACAATATTGAGGAAATTTAAAATATAAGCTCTTCTATAGAGAATTTTTGATTGATAATTTGCAATTCTACCAGGTCTTATGATCCAACTAATTAGTGACCAAGGTTTCATTATACAGTATTCGACAAACTTGGTCTTTTCATATTTTTCTAGATGTTTGTGATAAAATTGTCGTAGCCATTCGTCGTGTGATATTGATCTTGAGTTGTAACCATTATATGGGCTATTGTTTAAAGAGTTATTGATATTTAAACCTGAACCATTATTATGTCTGTTAGCTGCATTATTCCAAGATGCAAAAGGATGATTGAACGCACTATTTGTTGGTGGACCGCCTATCATTGGTTGATTTCCGTTTAGAGTTGTTGTTAATTTCTTTTTAAACTTTTTAAATACATTTCTTTTTCCATCAACTTTTGGTGATTGCGTAAATGAAAACCCAGTACTTTGATACGAAGAGGGTGTTAATGGAGGTTGGAAGTTTTTTCTTTTATCAGTTATTGGATAATGTTCTACATCAGTTACTTTAGGATTATAACCGTTTTTTGTTGAAATACCAGTTGCTGATATTGATTCGAATTTTGGGGAAATTTGACCTGAGGAGTTTCTTTCAATATTATTTTTATTTATAATTTCATTAGTACTATTTATATTTTTATTTTTTTTTAATGGTTGTTGATATTGTTTTTCTTTTGGGTTATTAGAATTTTTTTTATTGTGATGATTTAAATCTGATGCTGATATTGGTGTATTGTATTGTGGTGAATGGTAAATTGTACTGGATTCTTTAAGAGGGGAACCTGAAAAACCATCATTTACAGAGTTTCTTTTCTCTATACTACTGGCTATACTTTGTTGCTTTGAAAAATCTGATCCCTCTTCTGATGATGAAGAGAAACGTTTATGATGTCCAAAATGGTGAATTGGATATGCTTCTGGGGAAGGTAATAAAGAATTTGAGGTTGCACTCTCCGATGATCTTAAAATTGGTGAATTTTTATCTCCCTTTTGAAAAAATGATAAAAATTTACTTTTCCTATTTCTCTGATAATCGTCTAAGCTATTACTTTTTTTATGATACCTTTTTTTACTTAAATCACCCATTTCAATTGAAATTTCACTTTCTTTATTTTTATAGTTGAGGTTATGATTATTATCATTAATATTACTGCTATTATCGTAATGGGTATTTAAATTAACATTATCTAAACCCTCTTTATATTTATTTATATTTAAATTATTATTTTTATTTTCGGGTATTTTTAAATCGTCCATATTAATTTCAAAATCATTAATGTTTTTGTCAATATTATTATTTGGTGTATCTGAGGGTGGCGTATTTATATCTTCATTTTCCAGAGAGTTAAAATTTGAAACTGGATTATGTGGTATTTTTAATAATAAATCTTTATAGTCAACATCTTTTTTCTTTTTGTTTTTTTTCTTTTTTTTACTATTGATTGTATCATTTTCAACTTCATTATTATTATTACTATGTATATGTTGTATATTATCTGTTTTTTTTTCTTTTCTAATTTCATTGATATTATTATTGCTATTATTATTGATATTATGTTCATTTTCTTCATTATTATTATTATTATTATTACTATTATTATTATTATTACTATTTTCCATGGTTTCTATTGATTTTTTTTTAAATATTAATTCTTTTGTTTATATTTTTTTATTTTTTATTTTTTATTTTTTTAAAAAAAAAAAAATTAAAATTGTATGGTTTGAATCTATTGCTTTTTTATAGAGTTATTGTTTTTTGTATATTACTTTTGAATATTTTATTTTTATTGTCAATACATCTCTGTTATTCTGTATTATAAAAAATTAGATTTTAATACCTTTAACTATATTTTCTATAAACTGTTTTTTATTTTGGTAGTTGTTATTATTGTTTTTATATTTATTACTACTTTTAATGTTATTATAGTTATTGTTTTATATAAGGTAAAGTTTAAAATGATATAACTAATATCTAAAGATTCGAGGTTTTTTCTACAATAACCTAAATAAATATAAAATATATTAATAAAAAAAATAGTTTTTTTAATATAAAATAATGGGAAATAAAAAGAAAATATCTGATACAAACAAAATAAAAGTAATATAATATTAAAAAAAAACTTACAATTATTTGTTGTAACTAGTCACATTAAATAATATTTCAAAAAAGTAATATGAAATGAGATATTGTTATTAATTTTCTATTTTTTTTTTTTTTTTTTTTTTATTATTTTTTAAAAAATAAAATTGTAATTTTATTTGAGTGTGTTTATGTGTGGTTATGTGTTTGTGTGGGTATAAAAAATGCAGGTATAGTATAAAATTATATAATTATATAATAGGTTTGTGGTAGTGTGGTTATGTGAGTTTTTAGTAAATTATAATAATTTTTTTTTTTTTTTAAATTTAAAATTTTTTTTTTTTTTTAAAATTTAAAATAATAAAAGAGTAATTTTTTATTTATATAAAAAAGGATATAAACTATATATTTATTAAAAAAATAAATTTTATGATAATTCCCCTGGCCAAAATGGTTTCAAAACAGTAACAATTAAAAATAATTTGAAACCAATCATCTAATTTTTAATTTTATTTATTCTAATAAAAAATAAAAAATAAAAAAATAATTAAAGGGGTTACCAAATATGTATATAAATTGTTAAAAAGTAAAGTTAAACTGTTTAAACAAAAACCGTCTATTAAAAAATTTGGTGGTGTATAATGATTTATTTTTAATTTTTAAATAAATCTCTTTTTATTTTTAAATTTGGGGGAATTTCTTTTTTTAAGAGGATGAAAGTGATATTAATGGTGATTTTTCGTTTTGAACCATAAATTCTAAACCGCTTAGTTGGCTATAATCATTTTCGATCGGTAAAAACCACTTCCATGGATTATTACCAAAGACTTGTTTGAAATTCTTTTTTGAACCAAGGTTATATATATTTGCTTTGGAATTTGAAAGTTTTGAATTTTTTTCAAAATGTTCTATGGTGGTTTCATTTCTAATAATGTAAATGAAGTGAGACATTGCAAAAAATGCTAAACCTATACCGAATACCAATGCAATTACAAAAACTACGCCCAAAACTATATTTACTGAATTATCGCTCTATATTTTTAAAAAAGAAATAAATATGTTAATAAAAATTTTGTTAAATATAAAAAAAAAAAAAAAAAAAAAATTTTTTATACATTATAAACCAATACTTTTTCGATTAAACCAATAAAGTTGGAAATTGTCGTCATTAAAACATAAAAGCATAAAATGGTGGTCCACATTAAAAATAGGAAAAAGAATTTATAATTAAAAAAACCGACACAATTGTTAACGAATGGGCTATATTTAATGAAAAAATAGAATTAGTAAATATAAAAAACAATAATATTAAATTTAATGATTTCAAATTACCAATGATGATCCATCTTTAGTATACATCTTTTACATTTTGAGCAATGGTGAGCTCTATCTGGTTTATTAAACAAACATTTTGAACATTTTCTATTTTCTCCTAAACTATTTGATTCATAAAATGATATTGAGTCTAAATCCTGTGACTCGAGTAACTATAATAATGTTAATAAACAAAACCTTTTATGGATAATATTATTTAAATCCAATACTTACAAAATCTGGAAAGTTTGGAGGTATACCACCTGGGTCACTGAATGTTGTTTTGATTAAAGAAACTTGGGTAATTAAAAATATAATATGAAATAATAACAATATTATAATATCTACAAAAGGTGTTAAACCATGGGATATCCTTGAAGAGTAATATATAATATATGGGAAATAGCAAAAGAAAAATAAAAGCTCTAAAAATACTATTGCACCAAAGCCAATATTGAATCTAGTTTTCCAAAAATCTTTATTTGTTTTACCATAGTTGACTAAATTATAATTGTTATAATATTTTTTATTATTATTATTATTATTGCGATTAATAACTTTATTACTATTATTACTTGTACTATTCCCAAAATCATTTTCAATATCTAAATTATTATTATTACTACTATTACAATTATTATTATTACTACTATTACAATTATTATTATTACTATTATTAATATTATTATTATTATTATTATTATTATTATTATTATTATTATTATTATTACTGTCGTTATTATTGTCGTTATTATTGTTGAAAATATTATTATTATTATTATTATTATCATGAACATTTGTATAACCTCCTATAACTGATTGGTAATGACTATTATTTTCATTTTGATAACCATTATTTAAATTTCCATTATTATTATTAATTAATATATCATTGTTAATATCTTCATATGATCCATTCATATTATTCTGTTTAATTCTATTGTCATTCCAAGATATTTGATTCTCGTCAATCCGTTTCATTTGTGTTCTTAGTTTATAAATTTTTTTTTAAATATTTATATTATATACAACTAATAATTTAATTAGCTATATATAATAATAATGATATTATTATTAAATTTTATTGGTTATAATAAGAAAAATAAAATAATTTAAAAAATAATTTAAAAAAAAAAAAATAAAAAATAAAAAAAATAAAAAAATAAAAAAAATTAAAAAAAAAAAAAATTAATTATAATAAACTGTTTTTTTATTTTTTAAATATTTATTTCTTTTTTTAGATTTAAAAAAATTAAAAATGTTAATACTAAATGAAGAAAATAAATATTAAAAACAACTATTTTATTATAATTTTTTATGTTTATTTTAAATTTTTTTTTTTTTTTTTTTTTTTCCTTTTCTATTGATTGATTGATTTGATTGACTGATTTAATTATCATCACCAACATGTAATAATTGTTCGATACCTAATTTCATATGACTTAATTCTCTATATCTTTGTTCACAAGTTTTTTCTAATAAATCTTTTTTAGTAATAATACCTTTTAATTTATTATTATCATTGACTACTGGCATATGACGAAGACCCATGGTTCTGAATAAATGGAAAGCCTCACTAACAGCAAATTCGACATTGACATTGATAACAGTAATATTCATTACTTCGGTTAAATCTACCTCTTGGTCATAATCGGCTGGATCAAAACTGAAATCGTTGACTGATGGTAATTTCCATGTGAGTTTGGTAGTGTATTCAAGATGCGAATAAACAGTTTCTGAATTTGGAATATAGACATCTGATACACGTTCTAATATCATCAATAATTGAGTACGTAAAAGAAGACCCTTGACCAATCTATCATCGTGATTATTTACAACTGGGAAACCATTGTGACGAGTTTCTTTTAATACTCTTAATATTTCACCAATGGTTGAGGTTTCGCAAAGGTAAACTGGTTTCTTTGCCATAATATGTTTGCACATCATTAGCTTCATTTCTTTTGATGGATGTGGTTCTAAATATGGAATGTATTTCATTTGAATTAAAATATCAAAGAGTGGATGAATTAAAGCATCGGCAACCCATTTAGCTGTCATAACTGTTAACATAATTGGTAAAAGATATTGAAGTTGATTTGTAATTTCGATTAGAATAACTGTAAGACTGACTGTAAGACGTGAAACACCACCCATAAATGCAGCTGCACCCATAATGGCATAAACACCTGGATCGATAGTTGAGTTTGGAATAATATAGGACATAATTACACCAACTGCACGACCATAAGCAGCACCAATTACAATCATTGGTACAAAAGTACCTGATGAAATACCTGAACCAGCAGTATAAGCAGCAAATAATAAATAGAATGCGAAAAAGATAAAGAGAGCTGGTAAACCAAACATATGAACATAATCAAACTCCTTTGATTCGTTAAAAGTGAATAAATTGAAAATAGATTGCTCGTATGGTGCAAACATAATTGAAGCCATTGGATTGTAATGGCCCTCTGGACAATTAAATTGTTTTAACTCTTCTAAACTTTCTGCCAATTCTTTTAAATCTGGTTTAACACGACATGAAAATAATAATGGTACAAAGAATTGAAGGAATGTTGAAACACCAATAATGAGGAATACTTCGAGTACACGGAGACTTTTAACTTTGTTTATCTTTTCACGACGGAACTCTGTTACCTTGACATTAATAAAAGTGAAAAGAGCACCTGCAAAACCACCTAAAACACCAATGATAATGAATGGAATAAGTTCAAAGAGATGATATGAAAATTCTTTATCAATATTTTTACCAGTATTAAAAATAATGAGACCACTAATATCGCCAGAGTTTGATTGTAAAAGATTCATAACGAATGTTGCGACCAAACATGAAAAGAAACATCTCCAAGTTAATGTAGTTGACCAAAAAGAAGCTACTTCTTCCATACTGAATAGTGCACCACCAAGAGGAGCACCAAAAGCAGCAGCTACACCAGCACCAGCGCCACTAGTTACAAAATCTCTTTTATCTTTATCGTTTCTGAACGAACGAAGGAATGGAATTTTGAAACCAAATTCTTTTGATTGAGCTTGTGAGAAACCATTACCAACAATAGCACCAATATGAATCATTGGACCTTCTGAACCAACTTGAAGACCTGAACTTACTGCAAGGATCATTGATGTTAATTTTGTCCATAATGTTTTCATTTTTAATGTATGTGGAATTTTGGTGCCATTTAAATAACCTTTAACTTCTGGAATACCCGAACCTGCTGCTGTTGGTTCATAATAAACTGCTAATAATGATGATAAAGTTGCCAATAATGAATTAACTAAAAAATAAGCTAAAAACCCTAAAAACATATCTAATTCTAAAACTATAAAAAATAATTTTCAATAAATAAAATAATAATAAAAATATTAATAAATAAATTTTAATATTAAATATTAATATAGATTTAAAAGTAATAATACTTACTCTTTTCAACATATTTAAACTTATATTTTGTTATATTTGAAACAGCAGCATGAGAAATATATGCAATAATACCAATTGAAATACCCATGAAAAGACTTACAATCCAACGAAGCCATTCGTTATCTGAAACCAATTTATTGAAATTTTTATATAATTCTAAACGGTATGCTTTATTATATATAGTAACATAATCTAAGCATTCATACTTTTGAATATTTAATTTATCTTTAAACCAACCAGCACGCTCCTCGACTTCATGTTTCTCTACCCTACGATGATGTTGTTCACGAATATTTTCAACTGGCTTCATTGCAACACCGGCAATAGTATCCCAACCTTCTTGCAATTTACCTTCAATAGCCTTATTTGATGTTTTGACACGTTGTTCAATCTTTTTATTTGATTCGCCAATCTTTTCTTTAAGTTTTTTATTTGTTTTACCAATAGTTTTACTAATTTTAGCAGAAAATGAATCACCCTCTCTAATTTCATCATTGGAATTATATAAACTTTGTGGTCTGTAAGTTGATGGATCTCTAACAATTGGTTGCAAAATAATACCATCTTCTTGTTCTTCTTCCTCTTCACCATCTGCACCTTTTTGTAATGATATTGGTTCATATTCTTCTTGATCACTATTATATTCATCGTCATCACTATAATTTGCTGCTAAACTTTTCTTTTCTTCATCTTGGTATCTAACTTTTTTTTTCTTTTTATTATTATTATTATTATTATTATTATTTATATCTTGATTATTATTGGTTGGTAAATCTCTTGATGATTCATCATCATCATCTTTTTGAAAACCACTCATATTATTTATTATTTTTATTTATTTAAATTTAAATTTATTACAACTATTATTATTATTTATTATTTATTATTATTTATTATTATTTATTATTATTTATTATCTATTATATTATAGGCTAAAAATACAATTATGTTAAAAATAAATAAGAAAATTATCTTTCACCACAAACACCAGCCCACGTTAGTATGTGAAAAAATTTAAAAAATAATAAAAAATTTTAAAAAAAAAAATATAAATATATAAATTTTTTTAAAAAAAAAAAAAATAAAAAAAAAAAAAAATAAAAATTAATTCGGTTTTTTTTAAAACAAATCAAAAAAGTTTTTTTTTTTTAAAAAAAAAGAAATCAAACGATCACATAAATATTAATTTACATATATCCAAGTGCCTCCAAAAAATATAAGAAAAATAATAAAATTTTAAAATATGATATTTTAATTACAATTTAAAAGAATTTAATTATTAATTTCCTAAATATATACTGTTTTTATCGATTTTAAGAAATAAAATAAAATAAAAACAAAAATCGTTTAATTTGAATAATTTTTGCCAAAAAAAGAATGATTTTTTTTTTTTTTTGATTTTTTTTTAAAAAAACAAAGCAATAATGTGGATACAATTTATTCAAACATGTATTAAAATAGGAAATAAAAGAAATAAATTCAAAAAATAAAAGAAATATAGTATAAATAAATTAAAAAGTAAATATTTTTTAAAAAAAAAAAAAAGAAAAAAAAAAAAAAAAAAAATAAAAATCGTTCATTTTTTAAAAAAAAAATTTTTTAAAATTTTTTTATTTTTATTAATTTCTTTTTTTTTCTTTTTTTTTCTTTTTTTTTTTTTTTTCATTGTTAGTATACACAAATTTCTATAAAATTACATTTATTTTGAATAAAATGGAAGATATTAAAAAGCTTAAAGACAATTTAGAAAAAGCTTTAAATCAATCTGTATGGTTTTTTATAATCAAATAAATTTTATTTAAATTAAATTTCAAAATTAACAATTGTTTTTTTTATTCAGGAACTCGACAAAGTATTAGAATATTTAAAAAAGGCAAATGACTTTGAAATTAATAAAGAGGTCTTAAAGGTAAAGAAATTAAAATAATATATATTTAAAATACATATTCTTATTAATTATTTTTAAAAGAGTACAGATATTGGAAAAACAGTTGGTAAATTAAGAACACATAAAGATATAGGAATTTCAAAACAAAGTTCTATTTTAATTGATAAATGGAAGAAAGATATTGAAAAATCAACACCAATATCGACACCAACATCAACAAAACCTGCCTCATCAGCAGCCTCACCATCCTCATCATTTAAAAGAAAATCATCAGATACTGTTCAAACAACCACAACAGTAGCAAAACAAGAGATTGAGGAGAGACCAAGCAAAAGAGTATTTGAAGAGAAAAAAATTTCAACCACAACATTTAAATGTACTATTACCCCAATTAAAACAGGTGGAGATGCAGGTCAAAGAAACAAAATGATTCAACTATTGGCAGAGTCTTTAACAAGGGAAATCGACGAAACCCTTTCATCACCAGAGGATGTTGCGACTGAAGTAGAAGCAGAGCTTTACAGTATTTATAAAGGTTTAACAGCAGATTATAAAAACAAAGTTAGATCTTTTAAATTTAATCTTCAATCAAATGATGGTTTAAGAGATTCTTTATTAAATAGAATATTAACTATAGAAAAATTTTGTTCAATGGATGTTATGGTAATATTAAACAACAAATTTTTTTATACCCTATTTAATTAATAATATTTAAATAGTAATAATAATAATAATAATTAATAATAATAATAATAAAAATAATAAAAATAATAAAAATAGCCTATCCAAACAATTATTTTAAAAAGATTATATACTAATATTTATTAAATTATATTTGTTTAGTCAATGGCCAGTGATGAATTAAAAGAGGAAAGAAGAAAATTAGATAAATTCCAAACTGAAGCTTCGATGATTGGTACTAATAATGAAGCTACAACTGATCAATTCCAATGTGGTAAATGCAAACAAAGAAGATGTACATACTTCCAAATGCAAACTCGTTCTGCTGATGGTAAGCTCCAAATTTTATTTTTTTTATTTTTTTATTTTTTGTGTAATCCAACTAATTTTTTTTTATTTTTTTAATTTTAGAACCTATGACAACTTTTGTTAGATGTATTAATTGTGGTAATAGATGGGTATGTTATTTTTTTATTAACTCAATCCTTTTCTTATTATTTTTTTTTTTATTAACTTAATCTTTTTTTTTTTTTTTTAAACAGAAATTTTGTTAAATATACGATGAAAAATTATTTATGTTATATATCAAAAATTTAGTTTCAATAAAATAATATATTATTTTATAATTATAAAAAAAATTGTTTTTTTTTTTTTTGCCTGGGGAAATTTCTATTAAAAAAAAACAAATATAAAGTTGGAAGAAAACTATGGTAATAATTAAAATAAATAAAAACAGTATTTAAAAATAGTTTTTTTTTTTTACTTTTTTCCTATTTTACAAATGTGTTTGGGTTATTTTTATTTAATTTTTTTATTTTTTTTTTCTTTGGTATCTATTTACAAAAACAAAAAAATATGATAATTTTATATATCATAATTTTTTATTAGGATGGTGATGGATTAAGGGCTGGATCAGCTTGACCGTAGCCAACTTCCTCTAAGAACTTTTGCTCGACATTTGAGGTGTTAAAGCAAGATTTGTGAACTACTGAGAGTGAGGCAATTCTTTCATTCTTTCTACTTAAATTAAGAGTTGAAAGGAATTTACTACTATTATTACTTGAGGCAGGGAAAGAGCTATTTACAGCGACACTGTTTAAATAAACTCTTGATGATTGAACAATTTTACCAAATGAATTCATTTTGTTTTATATTATATCAGGAGCGAAGAAAAAGTATTTAAACTTGTTATTATTTAAAAAAGTGGAGTTTTTATTGCTAAAAGTGTTGTTATTTAATGAAGCCAATTTATGTTTAATTGTTTTATGAAAAAACTAATTATATAAAAAATTGACAAATATATTGAGTTGATGTTGTGTATTTGGAAATAAAAAGAGAAAAAGAAAAAAAAAATTTATATTTATAATGTAAAAATAAAGATCTATTTTAAAAATTATAAATTTAAATTAAATAAAAAAAATAAAAAAAAATTAATTAGTATTATGTAATAATTAATATATAAAATATTATGTAAACTATAATAATCTTTCAATGAAAAATTAAAAAATTAAATAATAACAGGATGAATAATTATAATATTATAATAATGATTTATTATTATTTTTATTATATCCATATAATTATAATTACTTACAATTTTTTTTTTGTATGTATTTGGTTTATTGTTGTTGATTGTAAGAAATGTTTTTTTTAAACAATTGATCCATCCTATTTATTGTTTTTTTTTTAGTATTTTTAAAAAAAAAAAATAAAAAAAAAATAAAATAAAAATAAAAAATAAAAATAAATAAAAAAAATAAATTTCTTATTTTTATTTTCAATATTATTTGAATTAACCTAATATTACAAAAAAAAAAAGAAAAAAAAAAGTAAAAAAAAAATAGTTTTAACTTAATATTATAATAAGGATCTGAGATTAGAATCCATTTATATATTTTTGTGACACTTAACCCCTTTTTTGTAAAATTTTATTTTTTTTTAATTTTTTTAATTTTTTAATAATATTTTTCTTTTTTTTTTATTTTTTTTTTAATTTTTTTGTTTTTTCTATTAATATTTTTCACACGAATTTTCAATGATGCAATATAGTGGGAAATAAAAAATAATATAAAAGTATAACGTGTTTTTAAATACCAAAAAGAATTACTGAAAAAAAATATATTTTTTTTTTGGATGGTTTTGCCAAACTCTCAATTTCTTTATATATCTTTTGGTTTCAAATTTTGAATATAATTTTATTTTTTTTTATACAACTTTATGTGGCACAGCACTGATTTATTACCTTTACTCTTTATGAATTATTACTTTTTATTGTACTTATTATAATATATGTAGTTCTCTATTTTTATTATTATAATAATTTATCATTACCATAAAAAATGAAAAATTAAAAAAAAAACAAGATATTTAAAAATTTTTATTATAATAAAAATGGTGGTAAAAGATATTTTTTTAATTTTTTTTTTTAATTTTTTTTATTTGCATAAATGTAAAATTTTTTGAGAGAATTATAAAAAAGTTATAAATACAAATTATAATAAAATGTATTTATGGACTTTAACCATATTTTTTCATTTTAATAATTTAAATAATAGCAATGATAAAAATAATTTAGTAAAATTTAAAATTACAAATTCTAAATGTTAAAAAATAAATTAAATTATTTTAAACAAAAAAATAAAATTAGATATTTTTTTTTAAAAAAAGTAATGAAAAAATATATATTTGCAAAAAGAAAATTAATAATAAGAAAAGTGATTCGCCAAAAAAATATAAATATAAAATATAGAAATTGTTAGAGAAAAATAGAGTATCAAGGAACTCTCAAACAAAAATTAAGAGAATAAAAGGAAAATAAAAATAAATTATTAAATGAAAATATAATTAAAAATGTTCTTGAAATTGTTTCTTTTCAAAATACATCGCAGGATAATGATTATTTAGGTTATTCCCAATTCTTGAATTTCCTGTAGTAAATCAGCATCAATATCTTGATTTTCATTTGTTCCATAGCAACATATACAAAAGGAGCCATATTTTCACCGGTAATTATTTTACTAATATGCATAGTACTTATATACATGGATGCATTAACCAAGCTAAATGATGTGTGGTTGGAAATGATTAAACAACATCTGGAACGTGCCTAAGATTGAATTCTTTTTGGGCCATGGAACTTTGAATTTTATTAAAAACATTTTCTGAGAGAGTACTATTTAATTTTTTATAAAACCAATCCATGTTAGGATTTTTATCAATATGGTTTGCTGGGAGATGATGTGCTGTGCCTACTTTGAGTGATTTATATGGCCTCTAAAGACTTTCAACTTGAAATTAAACATTGTTGTCATTAAATGGATAGATATTTTTTTTAATTTTTTTTAATTATTTTTTTTTTATATATTTAAATTTTTGTCTTTAAATTTAAAAAATATTTTTTTAATTATTTTTTCAAAATTTTAAAATAATTAATTTTTTTTAATTTTAAAATAGTGCACATTGTAAAAATGTATATTAAAAAAAATAAATATTAAAAAAAGAAAAATTATGAATATTCTTTCTAAATTAAAATATAATTTATATTTTTTTATAACATTGTTTATTTTTTTTTTTTTTCATTTATTCATTATTGTTTTTAGAAATAGAGTTTATGGTTAAAAACTGATCAGTAACACCTAATTCTGTTGACATACTAATGATCAAATCGAGTATGGATTGATTATAAAGAATTGATTTTGGTAATGGTGGGTTTGATTTAACTTGGTAATTCTTTATGTTAGAAAAAAAAAAAATTAATAATCATTTTTATAGTGCATAGTTTTATATAAATGAAATAATTACATTGTCTTGAAATTCTTTGTGTAAATAAAATGTTGCGTGACAAAAAATAAATCTAACGATAAATGATCTTAAAAAGTCATCCAAAAGGAAATATTGGAACGATGGATGGAGATTATTACATTCAAATAGTAACTTTGAAATTGCCTCTAATGTGTTTTGGGCAATGGTTCCAATATTGTTAAATGTTTTGGTTGGTATTTTATTTCCAGTTGTTATATCACAAAATGCACTAATTGGGTCATGCAAAAAGAATGTAAATATATTACCAGATTTTAAATTTGATAAAACAACTGTAAAAAATAAAATAAATATTAGTAAAAAATTTTTTAAAAAAAAAGAAATATATTAATATAAAAAGAAAAATAATAATAATTACCTTTTGGAATTGATTGAGGAGAAAGTAAAGAAACAAATGGTTGATTAAAAGTTGGTAAATCATTAAAAATATCACTTGAGTGTGAATTTACAATTAAAAAGAATGGCTTTCTACAGAATGGTAAAAGATCCATTGGATAAAGTGATTCACTTTTGGTATTGAAAGGTAAATCATTATATTTCTTATCATTATTGTTGTTATTATTGTTATTGTTATTATTATTATTATTAGTATTGGTAGTGATGTTAGTATGGATTGAATTATTTGAAGTGGTTGTTATTACTGGTGAGGTAGTGGTTGCGACTTTATCACCATTATTTATCGTTGTATTTGGTGAATTTATAGTTTGTCTTTGCATTGTTAAAGTTAAACCTTTAGAATATAGTTTGTTATATAATAGATTTGAGTCATTTATTGGAGTTATTGATGTATTTGAGTTTGTCGTATTTGCTTCAGTACTATTGGTAGAATAGATGTTATTATCTTGAATATTTGTAAAACCATCAGCTGAAATATAAAGAAGAAGCGCTTTACCTTCACCCAATTCTTTAAATGAATAAGATAAAAATAATAAAAGTTGTGAAATGGTTGGTCTATATAAAAGATATTTATGGGGATTCTTTCTTTTCTCTTTTATTTGTTGAATTTGTTGTTGTTGTTGGAATTGTTGATAAAGTTGTTGGAGTTGGTCACTTGGATTCATTTCTTGTTTATTTTGTTGTGATTGCTTTGATTTATCATTGCCCGTTGATTCTTTAATTGAATCTGGTTCATACTCTAATGATTGAGTCATTCTAAACATATCCAAAGTAATTTCACTAAATTTAATCTATAGTAAAATTATAATTAATAAAAATTTTAATATTTTAATTATATAAATTTTAAAATTACCTGATTTAATTGGCTGCCAACTAAAATTGCTTGTTGTAAGATTTGTTGTGATTCAAAAGGTGAAGGTACTTGGCAATGACTTGGATTTAAACGGTGTGATTGGTTATTGGTTTGTATGGAGGAGTCTGAAAATGTGACACATTGATCTGCTTGAAGGAATGAAAATATTTCTTGAAGTACCAAGCTCCATTCTTGAGCATCTGATGCTTTATATATTTTAGTGTAATCGTTAACATGTCTGCATAATTCATCGATTAATTCAAATACTACTTTCTTTCTATTTAATAATAAACAAACCACAATAAATCTTGCATAAAAACGTAATTGTTTTACCATCATATCTGGTGTTTTATCATTTGAAACATCTTTGAAATATGACCTTAACCTAATTGCTTCATAAAAAATATATGATTCATTTAAATAGTTTGTATCGCTTGTTCTCAAATAATAATGATAATATAATCTATAAAAAAAAAAAAAAAAAAAAAAAAAAATTAATTATACTTAAAACCGTATAAACTATTAGTTTAATACATACTGCCCAATTTTTGAAGCTATTTCGCCAATTTCACATCTTTTTAAACCATATTTGTTTTTATCCTCTAAAATTGATCTATATTGTTGTTGAAATTTCCAAAGTTTGGTATAGAGTTCAAAGGTTTTTTGAAAGAATGGTTGCCATTGTCTACCGAATTGAGGAAGATCTCTTAATCCAATAAATAGTCTTTGTGATTTTCTAAGTAAATGTTCAAATGTTTTAATAACTTCGGTTGAAGATATATTTGGTTGTGAAGTTTGATTATTTATTGGTGAGGTTTGGTCATTATTTAATTTATTAGATGAAGTATTATTGGTAATAATTTTATTATTTTTATTTATGTTATTATTAGTAGTGGTAGTAGTAGTATTATTATTATTATTAGTTGTACTGTTATTATTATTTATATCCTTTTCTTCATTATTTTCCATTTTTTTTAATATAAATATAATATTTGTTAAAACAAATAATATAATAATTTGTGTGATGTTATTAAAAAAAAAAAATTTAAAAAAATTAAAAAATTTGAAAAAAAAAAAAATTAAAAATTAAAAATTTTTTTTTAACAAATATTATTTCCATATAAACAACTTTTTTTTTTTTATTTATTTTTTATTTGAATTATATTTTAATTACTTGATATAGATAAAATGTACTGTTTTTTTTTTTTTTAATTATTAGATTATAAATTAACACCTCTGAAATCGTCGGCCATGCACCCAATTACTTTATAGGCATTAAATCTATCTTGTTTTTCATTGAAAAGGCCTAAAATAAAAGTACTCTTGGTTTTTTCTAAACTAAAGCCACATTTTGTTTGATTGTTGAAACAATAGATTGAATTTTTAGCGACGCCTTCAACAATATAACCAGGTCCCAATAAATCACGGCCACACTGGCTAACAATGTCTTTATTACATTGACCCAATGGTGTTCTTTCGAAATATTTTTGAAGATCGGTACCATTCTTTGAAAATTTTGAAACATCAACATTTTTTGATGCTAAAACAATACCATCATAGTTGAATATTGCCACACCACTGATATAGTTATGCTCTAATGATCCTGAAATAATTTGTTCGAAAAAGTGATTTTCTTTTTCTTCCATTTCTTTTTCTTTTTCAATTCTTCTTTTCATTTGATTTTGGGTTTTACATTCATTTAAATCTTTTAAAATTTCATCATCTTCTGAATATTCGTCATCTTCTTCATCTTCATAATCAATTGATTTTTCATTTTTATTTTTTTCTTGTGGTTGCTGTTGTTGTTGTTGTTGTTGAGATTTTTTATTATTTTTATTTTTTTTATTATTTCTATTTCTTACTAACATTTTTTAATTCTTTTTTTTTTTATTTCAATAATAAATATTAAATTGATTTTTTCCTTTTTAAAAATTAATAATAGTATGAGATTTTAAAATAAAAACAAAAATAAATAATAATAAAAATAAAAATTAAAAATAAAAATAAAAATAATTTAAAATAAAAATAAATTAAAGAAATTATTAAATTGTAATTTTATTTACAAATAAATTCATTTTTTTCACACACATTATTTTTGTATTTTTTAAAAATAACACAATTAATTTTTAATTTAAATAAAAATCGAATTTTTTAACACCATCATATAAAAAATAAAATAGAAATGATTTGTTTTCAATAATATATACATTTTCACATGAATTTTAATTCACCCCAAAAAAATAAAAATAAAACTAGACCATCTCTAACAGTTGTCGATGAAAAAATTGTTTATTTACTTTTCATATTAAATAATTAACACTTATTATATCATCAACCATGATATACCTTTATTAATTTTTTATTTTAATATAAAATAGATGTAAGTGCAAACATATCGATAATTTTCAAGTAAATAAACCCTATTAAAGTTTTAGGATTAGAATTATAAAAAATAAAATTTTTTCATTTTATTTAGTTTATTTAGTTTTTATTAAATGTTTTATTTAAAAATTAAATTCTTCTAACTCTTGAAGGATGGCCATATTTACATCATGCAAACAAAACCATTTGAAAAATAAATTTAAAAAGTTATGGGGTATTTGGAAATTGAAAATTATTGTTACTTCTGTTTTGGTTTAAACATTCCTAATGTTGATCATACAAATTAAATTGGGGTCCCAATAATAAATTTTTAATAAAAAAGAAATCAAATAAAAAAAAAAAAATAATAATTTATAAAAAAAATTTTTTGGTATTTAAAAAATAACCACACTTATATTTTAATATATTAAAGCTATAAAATAACTTGATTGAAATATATTTATAGAAATGATAATATAAAGAAATTATTTATATTTTTTTTATAATTTTATTTAATTTTTTATTAATTTTTTTTTTTTTTTTTTTTTTTTTTTCATTTATTTTAAAAATTTTTCCGTTTTTTTTTTTTTTTTTTTTTTGAATAACAATAATAGTAAATAAATAATAATAGAAACCATATAATATAAATATTATGAATAGAGTACCAATAAGACCACCGAATCAAGTAGAATTAAGAAATTTACAATCATTGTTATCCACAGGCGAACCATATGAAATTTTAGGATGTGAAGTTAGCTCATCAAAAAAAGAAATTACAAAACATTTTAGAGATTTAGCAAGAAAATATCATCCAGATAAAAACAGCAATAATGATGGTGGCGATATGATGACCAAAATCAACAATGCATACTCAGTGTTAAGTGATGAACGTCTTAGAGAAATTTATGATGTCTATTTATACGAAAGTATCAAGTATGGCGAAATGGAAGATGGCGATACAGTGGATTTGGATGAAACTCATAGAACTATAGCAACAGTACTTTCATTATTATTTGGTGTAGTTTCATGGCCTTTCTCAAAAATAGCAATCATGGTACATTCAAACGACTCAATTATAAAAACAAGAGATGTTGTTAGAAGTATATATAAAGAAAAAGGTATTCCAGGTTTCTTTAGAGGTTCTGGGTTTTTATTAGCGTCTGGTGTATTTGAAGTCATTAAAGAATATACACTCAATAAAATATTATCACCACAAAAATTACCACCACTTGTAAATACCATAGTGGATAGAACCATTCGTCCACTCTTTAAGCATCCACACAGTTTAATTATGGATCTATTAGATATTGCACCATTCAGAATCACTCTCTCAACTATTATTTTCAATGTAATCTTAAAACAAAAAGAGCCAAGTAGTATATTTGTTAGAGATCAACCACCAAAATTCCAAAATTTCTTTTATGGTGCAACTTACACTTTAATATTATTAGCCGCAAAAAAAGGTGTCAAACACTTAATCAACAAAGCTGACGACTATTGCTACAATGGTTACATTAGAAACCCAGATAACCTTTTCTTTAGATATTCAAATTTTATTATGAAGAACTCCTTCCTTCACAACTTTGTTTACACTTTTTGTATGATACCATTGGAAGTCATTCGTTCACAATATCCACGTATGCTTTTAAATAGTTATGATAGCGGCGAATCCACCACACCATATCCAATCAACCCTGTATTAATTGCAATTAATATTTATAAATTAAATGGTATTTGGAAATTCTTTAATGGTTTTGTACCATATTATATGGCAAATCTCCTCGAATCATTTTCAAATCAATTGGACGCCCAAGAAGACACCTATGAAGATTCCGAATAATTTAACACACAATTTTTTTCATTTTTTTTTTTTTTCAGATATTGTAAATTGATCAAATATATTTTAAAATAAAAGAATAGAATCAATTGTTTACTTTAAAAAAACTTTAAAAAAACATTCCCAGGAACTTTTTTGCAAAGATTTTTTTTTTTTTTTTTTTTCGGTTTTTTTTTTTTTTTTTTTTTTTTTTGATCAAAAGGATAAGTATATTCAAAAATGTAATTTTATAAATAATTCTCCAAAGTTTATTTTTTGTTTTTTATTTTTATTTTTTTTATTTTTTCAAAAAATTATTTTATTTTTTTTTTTAAATTATTAAAAAAAAAAAAATCAATATTAAAATTAATTTTTTTTTAAAATTTTTTTTTATTTTATTTTTTTTATTTATTATATGGTTATACCAAACTATCCATTGAAATAAGAACAAATAAAAAATATATAAATAAAACAGAATCATCATAATATTTTTTTTATTATTTTTGTAGTTTATTTTTATTATAATTAATATTAACCAACAGTTTAAACTATTCAAATATACTACAATAATAAAAGTAATAATAATAATAATAAAAGTTGTTTTAAAATATTAAAAACACATTCATAAACATAAATATAAATACATATTATTTAATATTCCCTCTTGAGATTACTCATATCCCACCCACAAAATAACCCACTCTCACTCATTAACACACTTACACACTCCACCACCATTAATAAATTTATTACTCTACACCATTATTACTACTTAACAACCAAAAACAACAACAACAACTGTATTAGTTATCACATTTATTATTAATAAATTTAATATATAAATAATTTTTATTTTTATTTTTTCCAATTTTAAAATATTTTTTTTTTTTTTAAAAAAAAAAGGTAGGGTATTATAATATTATATTATAATTATTTTTTGTGTTGAAGATTTAATTTATTTATTTTTTTTTTTAAAATTTTAATTTTTTTTTTTTAAAAAAAAAAATAATAGAGATTAAAAAATAAAAAAAAAAAAAAGAAAAAGAATTTTAAATTTAATATGTTATTATATTAAAATAAAAATAAAAATAAAAATAAAAATAAAAATAAAAATAATAAAATATCTTTAATATTTGTAACAACACAAAAACAACAATAAAGAATTAAAACAACAACTAACAATACAATAATATTATATTTTATAATAAATTTTAGTAATATTATTATTAATAATAATTTTTTCATTTTATAGTTTATCAATTGTCTATTTAAAAAATTAAATTAAATATGAACATATCACCAACTCCACCCCCACAAGTTATTCAACAACACTCAATGTTCCAAAATACCAATAATACCTCAAACCACCATCACCACCAACAAAATCATCATTTTCAACAAAATAAACAACAAAATAAGCAACATAAAACTCAACAACCATACCAAAACTATTATAACCAAGCATTTAAAAACACTGCCAATATAGCTGGTGGTGGTGTTGTCCCTATTAATAGTAATATCAATACAACTAACAATAATTATCATATGTATACAACCTCTATAACCCCACCAGCTCCCTCATCGCAATATATTAATAGTATTAATAATAATAATGTAAATTTTAATCAACCACCCTCATCGATCCCCCAATCTCAATTTTCGATACCACCCCCACCTCCAATTGCCCCTCAATCAAATAGTATGAATGGTAGTGGTGGTATTAAAAAAAACCCATATGCTGCAAATAATAAAAACTGTAAGGATATTCTAAAATAAAACTTATTATAACCCCTATTATTATAAATATCTAATTTGGTTGAAATTTCTTTCATAGTTAAAAAATTTAATAACCATATTAACAATACAATTACAAATAATACAAGTGCATCAATTCCAGTGCCAAAGGTGATGATAACAAGTTCACAAAACCAATTTTCAACATCTTTACCATATAATGTAAATAATAACTTTAAAAAACATAGCAATAGCAATAACAATAACAATAACTTTAGAAAAAGATCTTTAAGTGATAGTGGACATGGATCATCAATAAACCCACCATTTTCATCATCGCTACCAAATAATCCATCTCATCTAGTTTCAAATTATGAAAACTACAACCATAACTATAATGGAAGTCACAATAATCATCAATATCATAGTGGTCATCATCACCATCATCATAATCATCATCATCATAACCATCATCATTATCATCCACAACAATTAAATGGTTTTGACTCACCACCACAATTTATCTCATCATCACCAAATACTACGCCATCACCACCAAGATCTCATTACAATGCAAGCAGCTCATACTCACAGACACTGATTGAAGAACCAAAGTTTTATTCGGAATCTGAAAAACAAATACCAGAACTAATGAAACAATATCTTGGAAGCTATAGTAGTTATCATGAACACTATAATGCTCAACCACCAAATATATACAATATTTTAAGGGAATATTTAAGAGAATTCAATACATACAAAGAAGAAAAAGAGAAAGATAGAAATAAAAAGACAAGATGGGAAGAATTGGCTGAAAAACTATTTGAAACAATTGTAAGATCATCATACATTTATTTAATTTAAAATTTTATTATAGTATCATAATTTGCTAATATCCAATTAATTTTAAAAACAGTTAAAAATCGATAGTTTTAATAGATACACCCACAAAAATGAATTACAAAAGCTTTTGGCAAGAGTTAAAGATGATGGAGAAGCTGATTTAGAGAATATAATTAATAATTATTTATCTATAATTTAATCTGTAAAAGGATTTAATGTATATAAAAATAAAAATAAAAAAAAAAAAAGAAATTTTATCGATATTTTTTTTTTACAATAAAATTTAATTAAAACCTATAAAGTTATTTATATAATTTTAAATACATAATATTTTATTAAAAATTTTATTATTCTAAACTAAATTTGTTTTACTGTTTATTTCGATTGGTTTTCCCTGGCTAAAAAAAAATGAAAAAGGATTGTTTTGTGTTTTTGTTTGTATCTGTGATGTTTGATTTGTTTGTTTGATTTGTATGGTATGAATGATTTATGTGATCTGTTTGATTTAATTTTCTTTATACATTATATTATATTAAAAAAATATTTAATTTATTTCTTTCTGCTAATTTTTTCTTCCTATAATTATAATAAATTAAAAATTAGTATCATATAAAATTTGATAGTGATTGGGTTGATTGGTAGTCAAAAGATATTGAATTGATGAATATATATGAAAACTATTGACTATAAAATATCGTATTTGTTTAAAGTCATACTTTAAATAAAACATGTTGTCTAACTACTGGGTCATATTTTCTTAATAATAATTTTTTAGTGCTCATATTTGAACCTTTAGTTGTTTTATAAAAATATCCAGTATTTGCGGTTGATACCAATTTAATGATTGTTGTACTGATCTTCTTAGCACCTGCCATATTTACTATATTAAATTATAACTATGAATTATATAAAAACGAAAAAAAAATAAAATAAAATTTTGAAAAAATTAAAAAAATTTTTTTTGAAAAATTAAAAAAAAAATAAAAAAAAATGAAAAAAAAAAAAAAATGAAAATTTAAATATATAATTTAAGTAATGATTAATATTAGCACCATAATAATTTTTAATTAGATATTACCTTTTTTTCCTATATAAATTTTGGTAAAATAAAATATTAAAAATAAAAAAAAAAAAAAAAAAAAATAATATTTTAAAATAAAGATAAAAATAATAAAAAATAATAATATAAAATATATTTACTTTTAAAGTATAATCTATTTATAAAAGTATATCATTTTATTTATTAAAAATAAAATACATTTAGATAATGGCACTCTTGGTTTTAATTATTTTAAAATAAAAAAAAAACCATTTTTTTATTTTTTGGATTTTTTTAAAATTTTTTTTTTTTTTATCTTTTTAAAATTTTTTTTTTTCATTACTATCATTTATTAAATACATAATAAAACATACACACTAAAATGGAGTTAGAGTTATTTTCATTGAAAAAGGTATGTGTATTTTTTTAATGGGTTTCTTTTTTTTTTTTTTTAAATAAAAAAAAAAATTGATATTTTTTTTTTGTTATAAAAATTTTTAAATAATAATATCACAAAATTAAATTAATATTGTTATAATCTTTATTTTTTTTATTTTTTTTATTTTTTTTTTAATAACTATCATATTAATATAATTTTAAATCATAATTTTAATAAAATGTCACAGGAACTTTTATATATTAAAGAGTTAGCCAGAATTACACAAGAAGCTGCTTTAATCAGAAAAGAATTAGAGTCAATTAGAGCCGAAGCTAATAAGGTTCAATCAGCACCAAAAACTACCACCCCAACACCAACACCAACACCAGCACCAACTGTTGCAGCAACACCAAAACCAGTTACCCCAACACCAGCACCAACCACCACCACCCCAACACCAAAACCAGTTACTCCAACACCAGCAGCTACAAAACCAACACCAGCACCATCGACAGTTAACAACACTGCTGCTCCAACCAAAACAGTTCAAGAAAGATTAAATACCGTTTCATCAGTTGATAAAGTTGTCACAACACCTGCTGGTTTCAAAGCTGGTTCCTCAACAACCCCAGCCACATCCGCACCAGTTGCCACTAAAACTCCAGCTTCATTCAACTCACCAGCTAAACCAGCTACCACACCAGCTGCTTCAGCTTCACCATCTTCAAACCCACAAATTGTTTGTATTTTTTTTAATATCACCCATTTTTTTTATCAACCACTAACTTTTTTTTTTAAAATAGAAAACTATCGTTGATGCAGTTAAAGCTAAATCAAAAGTTGATAAAACAATGGACCCAACCAAACTTGAAAATTACTTAACTGAAGAAGATTTCAAGGTTGTATTTGGAACAAGCAAAGATGAGTTTGCTAAATTACCAAAATGGAAGCAAGATGGAAAAAAGAAAGAAACTGGTATTTATTAAAAAAATTTAATGAACGATTATTTAAATAATAAATCATATAAAAAAGATAAACAATCTTTTTTTATTTGTTGTAGTTATATAACTTTTTTAAAAATTGTAAAATATGGTAAAAACCCAATATTTTCATTTATTTTTTATATCATAGTTCTGTTTTTTTACAAATTTTCCTTTTTTAATATTGGACAAAAAAAGAAAAAAGAAATATTTAACTGATGAATTATCATGAAACAAATAAATATTTTTTTCATTTTTTTTTTTTTTTTTTTTTTTTAATTTTTTTTTTTTTTTTTCATTTTTTATTTTTTATTTTTATAATTTTTTTAAAATTTTTTTTCAATTTTTTTATAGTTGCACATCATCAAATCTGTATATTTATTCACAAAGTTTAAATTAAATTTTAATGATTATTATAGGAAACCTTTCATTTTTATAGAAAATTTATCATTGTTTTATAATTTCAAAATTTTAAAAAAAAAAAATAGAATTCCTCCAACCAATCCCATCCAATTTAATTAAACCAATCACCCCACACAATAAATAATATACATATAAATAGAAAAGATGAAGTTAGTAAGGTATGTAACAAAACATAAATAGTTTTGGGGTGTTATTTAACCGATTTACTAAAATAAAATATATTAATTTTTTTTTTTAATCAAAATAATTATTTTATTAATTTATAAATGACAATATTACCAAAATAGATTTTTAATGAAGTTACATAACGAAACAGTTACAATTGAATTAAAGAATGGTACAATCGTTCAAGGTACAATTGCAGGTGTTGATGTCAGCATGAATACCCATTTAAAAACAGTAAAACTTACATTAAAAGGAAAGAATCCAGTCAATTTAGATACATTAAGCATTAGAGGAAATAATATTAGATATTACATTTTACCAGAGTCACTCAATCTTGGCACTCTTCTTGTTGATGACACTCCAAAATCCAAACCTAAAAAAGTTAAACCAGTTTCAGATAAACCAAGTAGTAGTAGAGGTGGCGCTAGAGGCGGTAGAGGTGGTGTAAGAGGTGGTAGAGGTGGTAGAGGTGGTAGAGGCGGTAGATAGGTCAATTTTATATCATTAGTTTAAATATTAAATGTAAAAAAAAAAAAAAAAAGCCTTTCAAAAAAAAAAATAAAATAAAATAAAAAGTAACAAAAAAATTTTAAAATAATATCAATATCAAATTATATAATTTTCATTTTAATATTAAAAACTATTGTTAATCAATATTTTTATTTTTATTTACATTAAAAGTTTATTTTGTAAAATTTTGGGAAACATCAATAGAGACTCCTATGGATTAATTTAGATTTTATTATAATTAAATATTAAATATTTAATAATTAAAAAAAAAAACGAAAAAAAAAAAAAAAAAAAAAAAAAAACAAAAAAAAAAAGTTTTTTTGTGGAATTTTGGGGGACACCCCAAAGGGGCCCCTCTGGGGAAAAGATGGGGTTTTTTAGGAATAAATATTAAAAATTTGCGTCGGGAAAAAAAACGGGGAAAAGAAAAAAAGAAAGAAGGAGAAAAAGAGGAGCAAAAGTATTTTTGATTTTCTTTTTTTTTTTTTTAAAATTTTTTATATATTAAACACATCTTTACATAAAAAAAGATGCAATTATCTCTAACTAATATAAATTCTCACTATAAAAAATTATTTCAACCCTTTATAAATAAAAATAATTTAAAATTTTTACAAAACCAACAATATATTTTCAATAACATTATTAATAAAAATGATATAAATAAAAAATATTTTTCATCGTATTATGAATATGATAATAGTAATAGCACAGGTTTTGGCTATGATTTTAATATAGAAATACCAATACCATCCGCTTCATTATCAACTACAACAAATGTATCAACACAACAAAACCATAACAATAATATAATTAATAATCATGTAAATACTAAATCCAATATAATATCACCAATAATACTCGAAAAACTTCCAAAGAAAATTAAAATATCAAGAAATAAAAAAATTGAAAATATTATAAATAATAATAATAATAATAATAATGATAATGATAATAATAATAATAATAATAATAATGATAACAATAATAACAGTAATATAAATAAAATTAATCAAAACTTAAAAAATGAAAAAATAAATGTAAATAATAGTGTAAATAATGAAACCAAACCAACTACAAATAAAAAAACCAAATCTAATAAGAATGAAACTGATGATTTATTAGAAATAGAAGATTTTAAACTTACAGATGAACAAGAAAAAATAGTAGATTTAATTGTAAATGGTGGTAAAAATGTATTTTTTACAGGTAGTGCTGGAACTGGGAAAAGCTTTATCCTTCAACGTTTAGTATTGGAACTTAGAAAAAAATACCCAAAATCAGTATTTATTACTGCTGCAACAGGCATTGCTGGTATGTTTAATATTAATATTAATTTTAAATTATGTAATTATTATATTAATTTTTAAATTACTTTTTTAAAACAAAAAAAAACTTTTAGCTGTTAATATTGGTGGTACAACATTACATTCATTTGCAGGCATAAAACTAGGTAAAGGAAGTGTAGAAAAATTATCAATTCAAATTTTACAATCAAAAAAATATTGTCAAAGATGGTTAGATTGCAAAGTATTAATTGTCGATGAAATATCAATGATCGATACAGAATTATTTGAGAAATTAGATGTTATTGCAAAAACTGTTAGAGGAAATAATTTACCATTTGGAGGTATCCAATTGGTTTTATTGGGTGATTTTTACCAATTACCACCAGTTTATGGTAACTATGCATTTGAAGGCGAAACATGGAACAAATCAATTGATATCTCAATAGAACTAACCAAGGTTATGAGACAAAAGGATCCAGAATTTATTAATATTTTAAATAAACTACGTGTTGGCAAAGTTTTCGATGACACTGTTCAATTTTTATTAAATCGTTGTCAAAGACCATTAGATATTAGTAATGGTGTTTTACCAACTAAACTCTATTCAACCAATAAATCTGTTGATGAAGAAAATCAAATATCACTAGACAAATTAAGTGGAGATCCTTATACATTCGAATCATTAGATAGTGGCCATCAAGATCTTTTAGATAATTTAGATAAAGATTGCCCAGCTCCAAAAAAACTAGTTTTGAAGATTGGTGCCCAGGTCGTACTTTTAAGAAAACTCGAAAAACATAACGAGCTTGTTAATGGATCAAGAGGTGTAGTGGTTGGTTTTGTCAAAGCTAGAGCCAAACGTAGATTCTCAAGTTTTTATGAAAACAATATATATGCACCAGTAGTACTTTTTAATAATGGTCAAAAGGTTACAATCCCACCAAATGAATGGGTTGTTTGGAGTGAAAAGAAAGCCTCTAGAGTTCAACTACCTTTGAAATTAGCTTGGGCTCTTACAATTCATCGTGCTCAAGGTATGACATTGGACAAGGTGGAATGTGAACTCTCAAAAACTTTTGCAAATGGTCAAGGTTATGTAGCTTTATCAAGAGTGAAATCTTTAGATGGTTTATATTTAAAAGAATTTAAAAAATCTGCAATTAAAACCTCATATAAAGTTACCAATTTCAACAAAATTATAAAAGAAAAAAAATAAAATTTTTTATCAATAAAACTATTTTTTACAAATAAAATTTTTTTATAAATAAAATAAATTATTTTACTTTTTTTATTTTTATTTTTATTTTTGCAAATAATATATATTATAATTCAAAAAGGTTTTCACAAATCCAAATAATTATTTACACTTATCTTTACACATAAATAAAAAATACACACTATTTTATTTCAAAGATTTTTTTTAATAATTTTTTTAGAAAATTTAAAAATAAAATTATGATTATCTATTTACAAAACAAAAAAATCTGTGGATACAAACACCAAAATTTTTTTTTTTTTAAATTTCTAAGATTACCAAAGATTAATAAAAAAAAAGTGGTTTTTATTACTCTCTTTCAAATAAAAAAAACCAAAATATCAAACTATTTTTCGAATTTTTTTTTTTTTTTTTTTTTTTTTTTTTTTTTTTTTTTTTTTTAAAATTTGTTCCTTTTTTTTTTTTTTTTTTTTTATATTTTATATTTTAATTTTTATTTTTGTATATTTATATTTTATAAAATTACAACATTGTAAATCAAATCTAACAAAGTTGTTATTTTTTTTTTTTTTTTTCAAAAAAAAATGAGACTACTTTTATCAATTATTTTCTTAATTTTCTCATTGGCCAATATCAACGGTCAAAATGCCCCAAGCACAAATTTTGTCTCTTTCCCAATTACCATTTATGACAATCACCCATCTTTTAACCCTGTAAGCAAAAAAAAAAAAAATAAAAAAAAAATAAAAAAAAAATAAAAAAAAAATATATTTGTATAACCCAAAAAAAAAGTCTGATTTTAATTATTTTTTTTTTTTTCTTATTATTATTTTATAGGATTTCGAAAATACAAATGGAGCACAAAAAGGTTTAGTTAAAACCAGTTTATCAAATGGTTTACCTGTTCCTGTTCAATATAACGCTTGGATTAATAGCTCTTCATCATTTAAAGCTTGGTTTTCTCAAGATCCAGTCAATAAACCAGTATTATTCAATCTTACATTCACTCGTGATAGTAAAAACCCAAATTATTTAACATATGATAATCAAGACTTTTTCCCAATTGACGTAAAGATGAAACTTTTATTATTTATTTATTTATTTTTTTATTTTTATTTTCTCACCAAAATAAAATTTTTATTTTTATTAAATTAAAATATAGAAACAAGGTTGGGAATCATCACAGTATTCATCTTTAGATCTTCCAAAATATAAAGATTATAACAAAGACACAAGAAATTTCCATTTCTGGTAAGTATAGCTAAAGGTTTTATAATATTAAATACCAAAATTTACTAATTTTTTTTTTAATGTGCACCCACCAGCCTTCATTTTTCAAATACTTTTGAATCTAATGTAAGTTTTTTTTATTTTAATTTATTTATATTTTGATATTAAAAAGTCTCATAATTTTATATAGTGTAAAGAAGTATTTTCATTTACCGGTGATGATGATGTTTGGGTTTTTATTAATAATAAACTTGAATTAGATCTCGGTGGTGTTCACTCTGCTGAAAGTGGTAATATTAATATGGCTTCATTAAAAAATCAAAAATGCCAAGAATCAACTAAAACTAAAGTTGTTTTCAATACTTTCGATTTCTTTTATTGTGAAAGACATACCACAAGATCAACTATGAAAATTTCAACCAATATGCCATTTACTTGTTCATACTATGACTATTGTTCAGAGTGTCAAGGTAAAGGTGCTTGCTGTGATCCATCCTTAGTTCCAAACCCAGATAAGTGTTCCTATTTAACCTGTCCACCTTATGATACCAAAATCGAAACTGGTAAAACTTGGAAGGATTATATGATCAAAAACGACAACTCGAGCTCATGTGAAGGTAATGACAAATGTAGAGTTTATTCATGCGACTCATCTAAAGGTTGTGTATCAACTCCAAAAGTCTGTATAAACGAGAAACCAAAATGCTTTGATCTATCATGTGACTCAACAAGAGGTTGTGTATATACCCCAAAATATAACGATCTTGGCAGAGATGCTTGTTTTGAAACAACCTGTGACGAAAAAATTGGCTATAAAAAAACACCAATTAAAACATGCCCTGCTGATGACAACTTATGTACTATCGAGTCATGTAGTATTACTGCTGGTGGTTGTATTAGCACACCAAAAGTTATGGACACATCCGATCCATGTTCCAATAATACTTGTAATCCAAAAAATGGTGAAGCCTATGGAGGTTCAATTCCAAACTGTGAAGCATGCAAATGTCCAGACAAGTTTTGTCAAATCAAAGAATGTCCTGGTGATGTAAACAAATGTGCATACACTGATATCAAATATGACAATATTAATGCATGTACCCAAAGAGCTTGTAACAAAACCAATGGCCAAATCTATGAAATTCCACACACTTCATGTTTTGGTGATACCTGTAATACATACACCTGCGATTCAAAAACTGCTACTTGCACATCAAATTCAACCAAAGTATGCGATGATAACGACATCTGTACCTTAAACGAATGTAAAAATGGTGAATGTATTTTTACACCACGTTCATGCAATGATAACAACCTATGTACAATTGACTCATGTGATTCCACTGCCGATGGTGATGGTTGTGTTCATGAAGAAATTGAGTGTGCTCAAGAATCACTCTGCTCTACCTACAAATGTAACGAAAAGACAGGTAAGTGTGAAGCCACACCTATTGTTTGTGAAACTGCAAACTTTTGTTTAGGTGCCACTTGTCAAGAAGGTGTTGGTTGTGTTGAATTCAATAGAACCTGTGCCCCAGATGATGATTGTTCAAATGCCAAGTGCGATTGGGAACAAGGTAAATGTATTTCTAAAAAATATGACCCATTACCATTTGTTTGTCAACCAATTGGTGTCAAAGTTGGTGTTGGTGCTGCTGTAGGTATTGCTATTGCTGGTGCTGTTGCATTAGGTGTTGCTATTTTTGGTGGTAAAAAAGGTTACGATTACTGGAAGAACTCACAAGATATCAAGATGTCTGCTTCAAATTCGAATCCACTCTACGAACACAATCCAAATGCTCAAGGCGATAATCCATTATACACTCATCGTGAATAGTTTATTTAATAACCAATAATTTTAAAAAAAAAAAAAAAAAGAAAAGAAAAGAAAAAGAAAAAATCAATTACTTTTATTTTAAAAGTTTTTCATTAAAAATAATTTTTATTAAAAAAAAAAAAAAAACAAACCTGTATAATATATATATTTTTTTTTTACCAAAACCTAATAAATTATTTATATTTATTTATTAAATCAATATTAAATTTTTTTTTTTTTTTTTTTTTTTTTTTTTTTTTGTTTTATTTGATCACATGATTTCTTTTAAAATAATTTTTTGAAAAATATTTGGATGAATTCAAATAATTTTTTTCAAGAAATAATACTTATATCTTAAATAATTTATTAAAATATAATTTTTTTAATTTTTTTTTTTTAATTTTTTTATAAAATTTTTTTTAAACTTTTTTTTATTTTTTATTTTTTAAATATTATTTCATTTAGTTTTATTTAATAACCCCTTTTTAAAAATGGAGAACGATAACAATAACCAACAACCACAAGAAGAAGAACCACAATTAATAGAGAGAGAAATTGAAGGTGTTACAGTTTTACCACCACCATTTATTCAAGATCCAATCACAAACGAAACAACCATTATTCAAAAAGAAGAGGCTGAACCTGCCAAAGAAACTAGAAACGAAGAAGGTTTCTTATTAAAAACCATTCATTGTAGATTATGCGATTGTAAAATTTTAACACCAAAAAATGCAAAGTTAGTGGAAAAACAAGTAAGAATTCAACCCCTAATTAGACCCTAAAACCAATGCTATTGATGATCTGTACTAAATCAAATTTTCTATTATTATAGATTACTTTAATTAATAAAAAACAAAGCAACACTGCCGAAGATTTAAAATATATGTGGTTTTTACCAGATATGTTTCAATTTGAAAATATTGCTTTTACAAAAGATGTAAATTCAACTCACAAGTATCTTTCATGTGCAGGTAAGATTTTAAAAAAATATATATTATTAAACTCGGTTGGTGGATATCTTTGCTAATCAATTTTTTTTTCTGTTGCAGAATGTGAACAAGAGGTTATTGGTATTCATTATATTGGTTCAAAAGAAAATTATGTTGCTCACGATAGAATTATTTATAAATAAATTAAATGAATATATATTAAAAATGTAATGTTTAAAAAAGGTAATAAAATTATTTTTTTAATATTTTTTTTGTTTTTTTTTTATTATTTATTGTTTTTATATATATGTACCATTGTCGTGTCTTTTTTTATTTTTTATTTTTTTTTCCAAGTTTTTATTTTAATAATTTATAATTGACAAAAAAAATTTAAACTTTAATATTCTTGTTGTTAACTTCACAAGCATATTTAATAAGGAGATCAACAACTTTTTCTTTGTTGGCAGCAGTTTCAGTTCTGATGGTTTCAATTTCTTCGTTGGCACTTTGGAGTAATTGGGTGGCGGTTTCAGTTGAAGCACCAAAATACTATTAATAATAAAATAAACATTAGTATAAATGTATATTATATAAAAAAAAAAACAATAGTGATAATTTTATGACAACTGAATATATTTTTTTATAGGGGGAATATTATTTTTACTATTATGCTAATAATTATTATTATGATTTATATTGTACTATAAATTATTACTGATTATTATTTAATGATTATCAATATTACTGTATATTGCAGTAATATACTATTTTATATTTTGATTTTGATTTTGATTTTAATTTCTATTGATCGGATATTAATATTCAGTTGTTGATATCATCTTTTGATTCTATTGTTATTAATCCATTTGGTATATTCTATTAAACCTACTTTTGATTCGTATTCTTTGTATTCTTTATCTTTCTTTTCTCTGAATTCTTTAATTTCTTTTTCAGCTTCTTCAACAGCTTTCTTTAATTTTTGAACACGATCTTGTCTAGCATCGTTAACGATTTTTTGAGCAGTTCTTTCAGCTTCTAAAAGTTTCTTAATACCGTCTTGACTCACTAAAAATTATTATTTAAAAAAAAAAGTAAATAATGTTATTAATAATGATCCTAAAATATCCTTTCGTTTTTCCCTTTTTTTTAAATTAAAAAATATAAAAAAAAATTGATGATGTAATATCATCTTTTAAATAGGTTTCTTTAAAAAAGAAAAAGAAAAAGGGGGAGTAACAATAAGTAATTTACTTACTTTTGTATATATATATAAAATTTTATTTGTTTATTTTTAAAAATAATATTAAAAAAAAATAATAAAAAAAAAAAATTAAAAAATTTTTAAAAAAATTAAAAAAAAATTAAAAAAAAATTATAAAAAAAATTAAAAAAAAATTTTAATCATATAACTTTTTCCATAGTCTCCAACCAGGCTCTCTCATAAAAATTAGTAATAATTTTCTTTCACATATTAATTATACCAGTGGCAAACAATATGGAATTTTTTTTTTTTTTTTATAATATATATTACAAATACAATATCTTTTTTATTTTTTTATTTTTTTTTATTTTATGTTTATTTATTCCGAAAAAAAAAAATAATATAGATAAAAATATATAATTAAATAATTAGTTAACAAATATTTATAATCGTTTTCCTGGTAGTGTGTGGGTAATCAAATAAAAAAATCTTAAAAACATTTTTATTACTTTAACCTCTTTTTTCTTTTTTCGAAATTTTTTTTTTTTTTAAATTAAATATTTTAATTAATTATTAAATATTAATTATTTATTAAAATTGTATTTATAATAATCTTTTTTTTCTTTTAATTTTTAATGTTTAAAAAAAACTGAATTAACAATTGTATGAAATTGATATAAAAAGAATAAATTATACAGATTAAAAAAAAAAAGTTTTATGGTTATATTAATATCTTTTTTTTATTTATATTTAAATAATTATTAAAAAAAAAGTATTTTAGAAAAAAAAAAAAAAAAAAAATATAATTATATAAATAATTAATATCAATGAATGGGTTGAGGTTATTTTTAAAAAAGTTATTTTAACCACATTTCCAAAAAAAATGATTCCGCATTCACAAAAATAACACAACTGTTTTGTTGGCGTAAAATTTTTTTTTTGGTAATG